AGAAGCAAACAAGGCTATGCATATACGCAAATCAAGGAAGAGGAAGGCATTCACTACAGAGAATGCCTTGTCCTTTCCTGAAATGCAGTACGTTGTTGAACAAGAGGAGGTAGAAGCACAAATCCAGGAGGAGATGCCGAGGCCCGTGAAGCGTATTAGAAAGTGTAGCAAGTGTGGCCGTCCAGACCATAACGCAAGAACCTGTGTATCATAAGAGTTAGTATTGATCTACCATGTTTTTCAATTTGAAGGTATTTCAACAATAATTGGTAGAGCAATCAATTGTTGAATGCTATGCTCTTTGATGCCTTGGACCGCGTTGGGGTATGGACCGCGTTGGGGTTCCCCGCGTTAATCCAGACTCTAACTTATTACCTAGTATGCAAGGGATCTGCCGTATGATATACTCCGTCATTATTTGATGCAACTCTTTCGCTGAAAGTGCGTTGTTCGAGACTGTAAACACTTTCAAATGTCCACGATGCGTGAACTTTTACTCATTTGAAGGACGCAGGATCTGCAATTTGACTGGAAATGCGGAAGTGGAAACATTGGAAGCGCCAGTGGCTCGCTGAGACGACCGTGGCACATTGATCAAATCCTTCTTTGCAACGCTACTTCTTGCCTCTAGAGCTCTGACCCACCAATTTCTTCTTGAGATGTTTGGGGATTTTCTCCTTACGCTTCTCCCGCTTCTCTTCCTTCACCGCCTTCTTATGATCCCGCTTCGCATCCTTGTCCTCGTGCTTCTTGCCTCGAGGCTGCTTTGGCGCGAAGGGGTCGTCTTCTCCCTCGCCCGACTCATCGGAGTCGTCGTCGTCGTCCTCCGAACCTTCTTCTGCGCGCTCATCTTCGCCGTTTGCAGCGGTCGATTCGATTCCATCGTCTGCGCTGGCGTCTTTCTTGTGCGCGAGGAGGTCTTGGTAAACCAGATCTTGAGCATCGCCATCTCTGATCTTTTCGCCATCACGCTCAATGTCGTATACCTCGCGCAAATTCTGGGGAATGTATTGCTGCCTCCAGACTTCGTCCTGCTCATCTTCTTCGTCTTCATCTGGGCCATCAGCCTTGGCAGCAAGCAGCTTTTGCACGGCATTTTCCATGTCCGAGAATTCGACGCTTCCAGTGTTGGCAGTGATGAAGTTGAATAGTTTCCGTTCCGACAGGACATCTACGCCCTTACGCCTGAAGAAGTCCGAAACGTTCTTGATATCCATTCGAAGGAACTCCAACGACCGCGGGTGATCGTGCTCTACACTCTGACTGACATCAATCATGTACAAACGCTCTTCCTTCTCATGCCATAGCAGATTGTACTCTGACAAATCAGCGTGGACGAGCTTGCAGATCTGATAAAGCCGGCGCATGTAGCTCAAGAGGGTGACGTATGTTTCCTTCCAGCGTGTCTCAGCATCCGTCAGGAATTCGACGTCGCGTAGTCGAGGTGATGCGTTTCCCTTTTTGCTTCCTAGGAACGCCATAACCAGTACGTGTGACTTCAAGCAGATTGCATCCGGACATGGGATGCCTGCAGATTTCAACCGCCGAAGATTGCGAAATTCCTTCTCTGCCCAGACCTTGACCAAAGCGCGATTGCTGCTCTTGTTGTAGCCCGAGCGGAAGCGATATTCTCCAGTGACATACTTGTCTCGATCTTTGAACACCAGGATACTTGTTTTGTAGACTTTGATTGCCCGGTTCAAACCGGGCTTTGGTTCTCCATCCCCACTGGCCGTCGGGATTGTCACTGCATGGTACACGTTCGCCTCTTTGCCTGTGGAGATAACACCATTGATTTCCGAAACGATGTTTCGGTTCAACAATTGTAGTAAGATCATTCGTGTCCTCGGATCAAGCACCTGCTCACTTGTCGCACGATCCGACTTTTCTGCACCGTGGCTCTTCCCACCCCCGAGCCCAGCTTCGAGGTCGCTCAATTTTAGTTTTGCAGTGTGGGCAGACAGGCTCTTGATATGGTCGTCAATGGCGGCGCGTGTGTTTAGCTGAGGATTTGTTCTCGGCCGCTGTACGTCGGGTGTGCTGTTGTCGTTGAGCTTTCTTTGTCGGTTGTAGGCCTTGGTGTAGTCGGCGGGGTTTGAGGAGTTGAGATCGGTGTCTAAGAGATCTTCTTGTGGGTCTGCGAAGAGTTCCTCATAGTCCTCTTCCTCGTAGTCTTCCTCCACATCGTCATCATGGGCGCTTCCTGGTATGATGTGATCTTTGGAAGTGCGGTCGACCTGACTCTGCAAGTCTACGTAGCCTTCGTTCTCAACATAGCGGTGGGGCGGCTGATGACCTTCCGCAGGACTTTGGATTGATTCGACCATTTTGGGCAGTACAGGCGATTTGCTCAAACCCTTGATTGATTGGCAGAGGATGTTCGCGGAAATTCTGGGTGGAAAGGTTTGTCGCGTGCGCGTGAAATTTCACCACCGCCACTGTTATCGGCGCGTGGTGCCCCGCTGTTGGGCTGGCTTTCTGGATGACGCGGCGGGAGCCCTGAGTGGCTGCAGGAGTTCGCGTGAACAATTCATGCCGGCTCTGGGAGTTGTCCATCAAACATCTGCACAACTCAAGCAGACTCTCGATATCGAGCACAATATGATCAGTAGTGCCAGTCTGGCGGGAAAGACAGGCCAATTGGGATTGTCCATCTCCTGGGACTTTGCGGGAGATAAACCTGATCGCAAGCGGTAGCGTAATGAAGAGGACTCTCTCGCACATGCGGGTATATCACATTGTTGCATGTGCAGAATAAAATCGAGGCGAAAGAGGTGCGCATGCGCAAAGGCGATTCCCGCAGACTGTAGTGGTGCGCCAGTGAACACGCCATGTGCCTTTGAATAGACTGCTGTTAGCGAACGTCGATGCGGCTTTGGCCCATGCGTCGGGATATATATGCCCTTTCTTGCTCGCTGCGTGCCAATTCAGCGTACCACTCTCATCTTCACGGGTTCGCCAACTTATGATTGCGTCGAAACTGGAGATCATTTGGTTGAAATGGCCGCCCCAAGTTCCTGCAAAGTTTTCTTTCTCTTCTCTGCATTCTTCTCTTCCCCAGCGATGGCTTCCTCCAGCGTTCTTTTGCAATTTGACAAATGTGTGACGAGTTGGGTCTCAAATTGGCGCGACCACGCTCCTCCCGATCCCATGCCTCCGCCTGAATCCGATGACTTCTCTGGTAGTTGTGCTGTGGGTGGCACATCTCCTTCGAACACCATCTCCGGTTTCTTGCCCTTGCCGCGGCCTTTCTTGACCATTCGCCAGTCCCACTGCGTTGGAGAGCTCAGACTGCGAAAGAAATCGGCCGTGGGCTCATTAAACTCAATCGTCTCCATCCGCTCAGCTACAATCTTGTTCTCTTTATCCTGTCGCGCTCGCTGCTCTTCACTACCATAGCTGCCTAGCACCAGGTAGTGTTCTCTGTAGACAGCCTTCTCTCCGCTCTCCGGCGCGAAATACAGCCTGATTTCCACACCGAATTCACCGTATCCGGTCTCAGTGACTTCAAATGGCCCTGGCGCCTCGATCGTGCGACTCGCGTCGGGATATGTGTGATGTAATTTAAATTGGACCTTCTTCAACCATGTAGTGATGTCGGGCCCGTTCGGTATTGGCCGCACGTAGACTCGCCAGCCTTTGGTATGGCCTTCTGGCGGCGGATCGGCGAAGCCGGCGTATGGTAGGACATGCGCTTCATTGCCGATGATGAAATGTCGCGAAACTTTCACGCCTTTGACACGTTTCGACGCGGGCGCTGGCATTTTGAGATGATTTTGTCGAGGGTGTGAGATCACTGCAAAGTTGGATCGTAGGGACGCGCCTTAATATTATGACGCGTGAGCTCTCGAAATCCGCAGGAGTGGCTTGTCCGCGGAACGCAAACTGCGCCCATGCCACGAAGTGTGGACCAATTTCCACTGTACCTCCAATATCTCTTCCTTCTCCTCCCACAGTGACTTCATAACATGGGCCAATGTTGTGGAACCATAGCACATCGAACAATCATTTACCTCTCCCTCGGTAATGGTGGATTGGAGTGCATGCGTCTTTTCACTCAACTTCAACCATAAACTACTAGCGGAGAAATTGAAAGAATATTGTTCGCATAATTTGCAAGCACTTGACAAACCATGATTCACAGGACCTGAGATCGCTTCGATACGCTAATGATGATTTGACGAGACCTCGGCGGTCTTTCGCTACACTGTGAGCGTGTTCGGCACATCTTTTGGCATTGCCTTGCAAATCGAGATCAAACAAACAGGCAAGCAAGGAAAATGGAAACCACCATCAGGGTGGACTGGCCCGACCAAAAAAGTTTAGAAAATGAAGCTGTAGGCTGGACTGCCTTGACGACCGAGCATCTAATTGCTTCTCCGACGCGAATTCTGACAGCCTAGACCCAAGACAGAGCCTTGACGCGCTCCTGCGCCAGCATGCCACGTCCCGGCACTCGAAAATCCATCCAGTCAGCTGGTGCGAGAGCTTTGTGACGCCCGTTTGGGATGTAGTCAAGAGTTTGAGACTTGTCCACTCTTGCCACAGTCTCTTCCAAGATCTTCACCTACCAAATATCGCACAACTTGCTGCAATACGCCCTGTAGAGCATCAGCATATAGGTCACGTCCTGTGCACAATAAGCCTTGAGCGCGTCAGGCAACGAACGTTTGTCGAAGACCGCGTGAGATTCCTCTGTGCTTGAGTTGAACAATTTCACACCCGCTGCTTTGATTCTTTTCCAGGTCAAAAGATTTGTGTACCCTAGACCAGCATCGTACTCGACACACTTTGCAAGGCCACACAGGACTCTCTTGCTGAAATCACGTGTTGCAAGCTCCATAAGTTGAAGGTCGTGAACGCCAGCAAATCGACTTCCGTACAGATGAAAGAGGGCGTTGGAATCATTTCGCACACCAAAGAAGACCTTGATAATGTCTGGGTTTTCTAGAATGGATGTCAGAGTTTGAGCACTATTTTCATACCCAGCAGCGACAGTGAAGGCATCTTTGCCCAAAGTAGTAATGTCGACGAGGTGGGTGTTCCCTGAGCGGCGTTCATGCAAGGTGAAAATTGAGACCGATCCGAAACGGCAAAGATTGGTGCCTTCGACATCAAGAAACAAGTTCACATCGGGAGAAGGGAGAAGTACAAGCTCTTGAAGCAAGTCCTGTACCTTGCTCGCGGTATTCACAAAGCTGATAGCCATACTGGGCTACGTGAGAGGGAGGAGGGTCAGCGGTGGTTTGTCGAGAATGCACTCGAATGAGTCGGGCACGGTAAGATGCCACCGCACGAGTCAACGTACTTGTCTCAACTGGGAAACTCCTGTTCGGAAATGAGCTCTGGATGGATGATTCTCTGTCGAAGAGCAGGCGGAGGTTATGGTATGTATAGCCGTTTCTTTCGTGCGATGTTTCTACGGTGTTTGGCACGAGAAAAATTCACTACTGGCTTATTCCAAATAGGCCAGCCCGAAACAAACAAGCCGGCATCGAAGGAAACAGTACAAAGGAAAAGAAGAAGTCGAAATGCTCACGTTCACACTTCACGACAGGGAGGGCAGGGATCAGGAGGAAGCATTTCACTGGTGACTAGGAGCTACTCACAACCGTTCAAGCTCGCTTTCCCGCGCACACATTCCGTCTGTACAGACAAGGGCCCCAAAATGCCTACTACGCGGGTTTATTCCAATATGTGTTATCCACGATGTTAGCCCATGCGAGCAGATCGCTGTGAGAGTGAAGGAGGAAGGCTGGGCTCGGTCTGTCACATTACATTGCACGCCGAAGCAGCGAGCAGCTCCATGACTCACTCTATAGCCAGCTTGACCAAATTTGGGATCGCCCGCAACAAAAACGATGGCTGTCGACTCGGCATTGCGCGGAGCGAAGGACGGCACTCCAGCACTAATTTGCTTCGTTTCACGCGTGCAGCGTGAGTTGGGAGTACGCGTTGAGATGGTGTACGATGTCAGCATTCGCCAATGCACCATCTCCGTTTTGGCATGGTAGAATTCGGAATGATTGAAGTGCCGCATGGGTCGAACCACGAACCATTTTGGTCATTGTGCACTATGTGAAAGTACTTTTTGCCCTCAACGCTGGGCCGAGTCGGTACAACACAAACGGAATTGGGAGTAATGCTACTCCGATGAATGCCAGCAAACTGGTCGCCCAGGCTATACCCAGTTTTTCATACATCTGCACCGTGAACAATGGGAAAGCCGCTCCAAAACAGTACCTCAAAAGCCCGTTTCCCGCCGAAGCAGACGCACCGTACAGGGCTCCATAAGTATCAAGCAAGTAGGTCATGCCGCCCAGCTGAAGATCGGTTAGCTATGTTTAAGCACTTGTAGAGCTTATGTGTATACTCACGAACAAAGTCACAATGCCCCACCCGAAAGGAACGCCCGCTGCAATCGGAACCATGAAGTTAATATCAGGGCGAGCGGTCCAGGCAAACCAGAAGAGTGAAACAGGTACACCGAAAGCACCTAGCATGCTGACATACAACCTTTCTTCCGGAGCTGGCTTACTCGGATACGAAGCAAGCTTCTTCTTTTGATAGATTGTTTTATCAATGGCGATGAAGGTCAGGACGGCCAGAACTGTGCCGATCAAGATGCCGAGAAATGCAAGACCGACCTGGGCGAAGGTGAAGCCGTAGGTACGGATGAAAACGTACGGATAGCTGTCGAAGAATGCGAATAGAACGCCGAAGACAAACGAGTGATACAGAGCCCAGCTTGCCACGATCGGCTCGGTTACCAACATCTTCAGCGGTCGGATGAGCGTCACAACGAGCAGCTGCTTCATCATCACTGTGAGGGTGGGCTTGGGAGGTCCCGGTTCACCCCGAGCTTTGGCTCGCTGTGTAAGAATGATCTTCTTGCTGGTCTCACGCGCCGGTAGTGCAGCAAGACCGATCGGGCCAGCAATCATGATCATCACCCATTGAATCCAGCGCCAGTCTTGATGCAGCTGCATCGTATACCCTCCGATCAAAGGACCTATGCTCGGGCCCATGAAGAACGTCGAGACGATCAGAACTGTGGCAAGTCCGCCACCGTGCTCCATATCCCAAATGTCGGCGACCGTGCCCGCCCCTACTGCCAGAGCAGGCGAACCAACAGTCGATGAGATGAAGCGGCATATGATGAAGGTCTGTATGTTTTGAGCGAGCCCTGCTCCCACTGTGAAGAGTAGGAACAAAGGTAGCGTCACTAAGTACACGGCCTTCCTACCGCGTGTTTCAGAGATCGGCGCGCCCAGAATCGGGCCTACGGCCAATCCAAGCGCAAAGAGCGAGAGCCCCAGCAGAGCAACAAACTCGCTCACATTAAACTTGCCTTGAACGTCAAAGACAGCCGGCGCGTAGGTGGATGTACCGATCGAGACCGAAAATCCGTACAGTGCCGGTAGAGCCGTATGGTATATTCGGAGTCCCAAGCTCCAGTTCTTAGGGTTGGCAGGATCGTCAGGACCATCCCAATCCACGACAGCTTGCGCTGCTGGGCGCGTCGGTGACCATGTTTCAACGATCGACACTGGCTCTGGCGATTTCTCGTTTGATGAGCTCTCTGGCAAATCTCGAGCAGACAGCATAGAGTTCATGATGATCGTGTTGTCGAGCCCACGTTATGGAGCAATTTCCGTTCGGAACACGGCCCGATGTTGCGTTTTGTGTACGACCTCTTGTAAAACAATTTCAAGAGCCGCAACCTGCGGCTGGTTATGCATCGCGCTCATCGCACTTATTTATTCACTAGCAGCCCAGCCTGTGCCATTAGTGAGCATCACATGCGGCTCTTGCACAGGGCCGAGGCCATTTCTCGTGGCTGATGAGGCGCATTTCCCCAGCCGGGTGAATCCCCAGAATCGGGCATCTAAGCTGTGCCATGTGGTGGATCGATGCTCCCCGCATGGGTTGCGGCACTTCGCGCCTGGAATTGATTCCGCGATTCCGCGATCCCATGAAACTTAAAGCGCGCTTCCTATCACACGGACAACGGGGCGGAGCGCATGCGTTAGTGCTGACGAGTCAAAGAGAGCACTGCTTTGGTCTGATATGTGGAATTTTCACATGTCATGCTTACAGGCGCAGTAACGCCGAGGTCGTGGTACCGCGGTGCTGTGTGTTCTGTCGCAACTACTTAAATGAAGCCCAGGCCTAGAGAAATCGCGTCGAACACGACAAACTACGCGAATCATGGCACCCTCGAAATTCAAATCTCAATTAGAAGCATCCTCGTACCATGCTCCCGGAGGTGGGGAGCTCTATCATCCGCTCCGAGAAAGAATTGTCAAACAGGCATTGGATCAGGGCTACGACGAAGCCTCTATGCTCGAACATGCCGTGACTTGGGCCGATGATCAAGACCCATGGGGTCACATTGCAAATGCGAGCTACCCTCGCTTCACCTCGGCGTGCAACTACCGTCTTTTCGAGAGCTTCGAAGAACAGCTGAAGGACAAGTTCCAAGATTTCATCAAAGCTCGCGGCATTGGCGTGATCGTCAAGTCGTCAACAATGGACCTTAAGCGCCCGGTCACGTATCCTGATGCTGTGAGTGCTACCATACGAGCGACATCCAAATCGGGCACCGAGCTTACAAGGAACCAGCTTATCATCGCCAATCGCATGGATGAGGTCAAGCCTGACCGATACCACGTCACAACCACCATGTGGTCCCTCCAACAACAGGCGCCGGTTGCGGAGTCTAATGGATGGGTTGTCTTCTTTGACTACGCGAAAGGCAAACCTGCCAATCTCGTACAGGAACGCGGAGTCTACGCTGACCTTCATGCTGCCCTTTCCAGCAAGAGCAAGATAACCAACGAGAAGAAGACGGCTTGGGATCTCGCGCATCCCAAGAAGTCAAGGTCAAAGATGTAGTACGTACCCGATGCCATGAAGGAGATGACTTCGCCTCTCGTCTATACCGTAAGTCATACACCAGCTCCCATTCTGTTAGGATCCAAGATCTAGATCGATCTGTGCTCTGCACGCCAAATGAAGTTCTCGGAGAAGGTTTCATAATTTCATACGGAGAGAGATGGATATTCTAATTCATCAACGCAGAGACAAAATGCACACGACTTTCGGTAAAAGAGGATTGTTTGATTTGCATTTCTTTCCGTAATCGTTAGGTAGACCAGAAAAATGCTGCTCACTGCTTCACCGCAAGCCTTACTTCCAATGTCCTCACGAGGCGCGTGCTCGTTTTGAACTCTGCTCACGGCGAGTTCTCGGGTGTATACTTGCCCCCATTCTCATAGTACCCCTGCTCGTGGTGATCAGGCGTCACGCGTCCGCATCTGCCGTTACTACAAACGCAAAGGCATATTAGCAAAAGCAACACCGAAGGACCTTTTCTGTGACTTACAAGGCAAAGTATCGACCCGGGAAAGGATCTTCCGCTTGCGTGCGCACTAGCGAATACTTGACCTCGCGAGGGTTACAGGCCGTTTCGTCTCGGACGTTGAAGATGTAACAGGCATTGCCATATATATCCTGCGGCTCCCAGAATCCCCAGGCGGCTGGACCCTGCGACATTGCAATGTTGCAACAATCCACTTTGGTCCCGGCCAGATAGGTTGAGTTGAAGTACACTTTGTCAAGCGCGTGGACGGAGCCGTCACCCGATGGCTTGAAGGGACCATAGTAGAAGGGCTGAATCGTGGCGCCGAAGGGATAGTAATTCACATCTTGAAAGGTTTGTTAGATTCAACATGTTGTATTACCGCTTGGTCTGCATGGAGTCCACTTACAATTGCCAGAGTCCTCGTCGCATATGGCATGGTGAGTGGGAAGCGACATGAGAGTGGACGTGTATGTGGAAATGGTGAGAGTGCTCGTCGTCACTGTGGTCGTCGCAGGAACGGTAGTGCTTGCCGTGAATGATGTTTTCGTGGAGGTTACCGGGGGAAGTGTATAGGTGCTGGTTCTGGTGATAGGCGAGTCTACGTATGTGGTTGCGGTGAGGGATGTAGTCTTGGTGGTCGTGGTGACTTTCAAACTAGCTGTGTATGCAAACTGAGATAGGATCGGGGTGAACCCTGCCGGCGTCTTGTGTGTGATGGGATTAGTGGCGAGATCTATTCGCGCTCACCAATTAAAAGGACGATACATACCGGAACGCTGGTAGTTCGCACAGTCGTAGTTGGGCTCACGAAGGCAAACGCAGCGGCGCCGGGCTGCGAGATCGTTATCGTTTCCGTTGCGGCGTAGACGGTTAAGCCGGTGGATATTGTGACAGTCTTATCCGAAGGATTAGGGACGTAAATGTAGGAGGTCTGAGGGTCGATAGTAAAAGTGGTGGTTGGCCCGATTGTGTTTGTAATAGTTGAATAGTATGTCCATGTTCCTAGGGGTCCGGGGTTGAGTGTCGAGGTCTGGAGTGCCGAGGTCTTCGGTGTCGAGGTCTTGATTGTCGAGGTCTTGAAGCCCGGTAGAGTCAGTGCCGGTATGGTCACGGAGATCGAGAGTGAAACAATATTTCCCGCAGCAGCGAAGCTCGCCAAAGTGAGGAGGAGAACACTACGGGGCGTCATTGTGCACTGGGGAAGGAGTTGTGGTTGGAAGAATTGCCTCCTAGTGCAGAGTCCTCCTTCTTATAAATACGTGGCATCATGCGTCACGGAGTGTCACAGTCGCATGTGTTTGCCATTGCCTATTGCTCAGGTGTCTTCTACTGGCCGCTTTACTTTGAGGATCGGGTTGTAACGCAATTTCATTGTTCCGCGATATCGTTGATTTCAAAGCTTGAGTATGCACGATGCAAGCCACGTTGGTGAATTAGGTGTACCTCGCCAGACTATCACTTTCACTTGCATCAGACATGTGGAGGATTGCTGTATAAGAAGTGGGAGGATGAATCCTGTAGAAGGACGCCATTGGTTGAGTCTACTGTTGTGTACGACTGATCTGTGCTGGTTCGATGCACAAAGCGCCGCAATATAATTGCGCTAGTTTTCGGGTCGTTAATCTATGCGATGTCCTTTTCCAGCCCTGAAAGAATTCGGGCTTCATTTCCCATTTGAGCGATGAATACAATTTCAGAGACCGAGGTTCGCAATGATCATTTGAGAATTTGGTCCTTGCTAGGATAAGCCATGGAGCGGGGTGCTTCGATTAACTCTACGAAGATTTCCACAAGAGGCAGATGCGGGCTTTAATCTCGTCGTCTGCTCTCGGGCGGCGAATGGGCTTCGTCACAGCCGGAAAATAAGAACATGACGTCTGTCCGTCGCTGGTCGGAGCATTCCCCGCGCAACGGCGTTGCGTTCAAGCTTTCGTGGTGCTAAGGGTTCGGCAGATTACTGAGACCCGAGAAGATTTTCCCTCTGTTCCACATACACATCAGCTATTCCCAATGGGTGAAAAATTTGTGAAGAGCGATAAAGACAGTCTCAGCTACTTCCGAAACTAGCCCGGATCAATGAAGCTTGAGGAACATTTCGGTCGTAATGATATTTTCAAAGCAGACAGATGCGACCGTACCTCTGCTACATTCTGCCGCAGTTTTTCGTTTTCTTTTCAGAGACGCTCACAGGATTCTTCTTCCTCCGACCTCTCAGCTTAGACGCCCCTTCACTGAATTTGGCGATATTGTCCTTATTGTGACTGGACTCGCGTTGCCCAGATCGTCCTTCATGGTGGCCTATCTGCTGGGAGCTTTCTTCATTATGCGAGTGCTTGATGAGTTTCTGTTCAAGGGGTTGCCCTCTTTATTGAATGGCTCTTCATGGTGTGGAATATGGTCATCTCATTCAAGATCAGATCTCTCATCGGACGGGTCTGATTTAGGTTTCCTGTGTGACTGACCCTTCCTCAATCGTAACCTGACCAAGTGAACCTGACTCTAATATAACATGACTAATCGAGATAGGAGACGATGAGTCAACTCTACTTAAACATCCTGTATCTTCGTCTAATAATACAAATGACAGCGAGAAACCCGTCTCGCCTGACATCGCTCTTACAAATATGGTCCTGCTCTGGAATGGTCTGCTCAACATACTTATGGCTGGGAACGAACTTGTTCCATATGTCTTCCCTCCCGGATATCATCATCCGAATCATATTGTCTATGTATCATTTCACCGATATGCTTTTGTCCAGACAAGCTTCTGCCTTCATCACTAGTCTTTCCAGATCTGACGCCGCTCGACTGCGCTTCGTCAGAAAGCGAATCACCTTCCCCGACCAAGAACCCACTTGGGGGTAAGTCTGTATCGACACGGAAAGCTCTACTGGAGTGAAGTCACGCACGGTGCCGCCTGACATTGCAGGGCAAATACAGCTCGCTCACACTAGAACATCATCAAGACTTTTCTCTTCACCAAAGACTTCTATCCACAATCTCACTTCGTAGGACTTTCAATTCATTTCCATACACATAAATCCACCACTAATTGGCCTGATAACACGAACTTGGCCGCAGCGCTGGCGACAGCTTCATTGAGGGCTGCTTCGGTAGTAGCCAGGTCCGAAATCGCTCCAGGCTTTCTAACAAAACCACTACCTTCACCAACTATACAGACGGCTTCTGCAATGATCTCTACCAGCAAGTTACCAATAGTAGCATTGCCATCTCAATCGGCGGTGCTATTGAAGACCTTGTGTCTAATAGTGGCGGCCGCCTCGCCATCATCCAAGTAGGTCACATCACAACAAGTATCGGCGGCTCCTGCGTGTACCGTGCCTTCACTGTGTGAAAGTTTTGGGCGCAAGCTCGTGACCGCGCACTCCTGAACAAGATACCACCATTCTCTGTCGATGGTAATGCCGGCTTCAGCCGAGTTTGCATCGACGGCCTGGCCCCCGCCCACCCGACTACCACTACGCCACAGTACTACAACGACCCGCACGGAGCCAGCAGAGGGTCTTTTTCATCGGGCTTCGGCAACGAGGGTAGTTACCAATGAACCACACAGTTTCAGAGCTGGCGCCCAAGGCATCAGCTCCATTTGCTCAACTTAAACAAGGCGGACAAGTGCCACGTGGACAGATTAGGGACGGCTCGGGTCTTCCGCAACAATCAGGCGAGGCCCCAACTGGTGGCGCACCTGGCGGCGGCCTCAACACTAAAACCAGCTGGTAACCTGGTGGAGGTTCTGCGCAGTGCACCTCTGATTTTTTGAACGCTCCTGGTGACTGCAGACAATACGTTCCTGCTGGCAACTCCGGTGGGAAGTCTGGTGAGAATCTGGAGCCAGCTGCGTCTGTGACAACAACGGCGGAAGCGACAGCAGCAGCGGTAGTTCAACCTTATATGCCAACTTCAGCTGGGGATACGACATTTCTCACTCCTAGTTCAGCTGGTTCAAGATCATGAGCAATCAGACTGACCGATACCTGACCATACAAAACTCTGAGTATGCCTTCGTATGCCTCCAAGGCTACAACTCGGTTTTTAAGGCTTACCCGATCAAGAGCGTCGCAGTTGGCTTCGCAGTGACGGGGGACAAACGTAACGGTAGAAAGAACGATTATTCAGTCAAGCTCAAGGCTGGCACTGGTATGTTCAAGCCACTGCATGGAAACAAGGGTGCTGTCTTGAGTTTCAGCCCTGCAGCATTCGGTGACTCATGCTGGGGTACTGCAGGAGAGATGAGAAGGGAGCTTGAGGACTAGTGCGGTTGGGACAAGGCTTATCGACATGCTAAATCTGGTGAAAACGTATCGTTGTCGAGCTCCATGAGAAGGATTGCTAAAGGATGTGACTTTCTTCACGTGCCGTTTTCAGCAGCGCATTGGCCGTGAAAGGAAACGTGAGCAAATTGTACTAGAGCTCGTGGAGAGATACGAGGACAGGGGTTCGCGAGTTCTTGAACCTTGACGGTGTACCGTGGACATGGAATCGCGTATGCGACGATGGTGCGTTGCGCAGAACTTTGGCGGTTCGAGGGTGTTCGTCCCAACGCTCCTCAGTTTCTGTCACGCTGTTTCGGAGCTGCCGACCTCTCACCTGCATCCCGATTATCAACAGGTTCCAACCCTAGCTTAGCACGCTCAGCCGCTGCCCAAGCCACAAAGCCCTGGAGAACGTGCAAGCTAGGGTTGGGCCAGAGGAAGCTTTGTGCGAACGCTCGTCCGGCTGTGCCCCACCTCCCCGTCGGCCGACGCCCAAACGTCGCCAGCCGGCTGACATTCCAACACACTGCCTGGGCACACGATTATTCCATGTTTCCGCATTACTGCCATCCTATTGGCCTCTCTTCGACGTGTCCCTCAGACGCCACAAAATCGAAGCGGACCTATGATATTAGGCCTGAATTGGACAGCGGCTGCGACTAAGACGCTTCGTGTTCTCTCGACCATGATCTGTTCACGTAGACTGCTAAGCTAATCTCGAGCATTTCCGTGATCCGTCGGCAGATTCATTCATTGAAGACAACCTTGGAAGGGACTAATTTGAAACGTTCTGACGTGAACCGTTTGGCTGTCCCTAGGCCACTATCAAAGTATAAGATTAGAGTTTAAGCTTTTAACGACTGTCACAATTTGGCACTATCGACGCTGCTGCTTACGTGGCTCAGAACTCCAAATCTCGTGGATACCGATACTGCTTTGTCGCTGTCATCCGGTCGTACCCCAGGACATGCGTGAGCTCGATGTATCATATGTCTCGTGATTCTCTTCTCATGATCCCAGCTTTAGTGGCTGGCAACATGAATCCTGAAGAGGTCTCGATTACGAAAACGTCTCCTGACGTATCTCAGCGACGTGAGTCCACCATTGGATCCACATTATGAAGCCAGTGACATGATCCCTGCCAGTGTCGCTTGGGCGCCTTGATTTTTCCATCGTCTGTCGACTAAAGGCAGTTCTGTATAGATGTTACAGGTCAGACATGGGCTCAATGTCAAACATAAAAGGACCCATCCGGCCTCCCCAAGAATTTCAAATTGACAACATACTTGATTCAATTACCACATGATACTTCCAACATCAGATTAAACATCAAAAAAATTCGAACTCAGTTCATCCAGCCCCTTTTGTTCAACCCGTTCACTGGTTGATCCTTCCCCTTCCAGACGTCAAACCTCAAATCAAACCCTTCACCCAAACCCGATCACCTCATCCACTTCGTCGAAGCGAATATGCCCGCGGCCGACACCAGTGTTCCCGCAGAAACGGGCGAAGCCAACTTGGCGAACTTGCCCAAACCCAGACCGATCTCTCCGTTGGTCACCAAAGTCGCAGCGTGGGACTTGAATCCTACGAGGTCTGCTCCTGCTACAGAGAGTTTTCCCATCGGACCGACAGTGGACGAGGGTACCGAGACTGCATTCGCTGATGACGCTCGCAAGCTCGTCGCTCCGTGCGATATCCGTCGTGGCGGCAAATACTACTGTAGGACATATCAACAAGTTATAAACGATAACGTATAAAGACTGACATGGGATTCACAGCTGTCGTGAAGCTACAGATTCGCTACGAAAAGCAGAAGCCTACCGACAAGGCCCGCGCTCAAGGATCCGGGTGGCTCATTGCCGATGACATACTTGTGACTGCAGGTCACTGCGCCTTCGATCACACTTATGGCCTTGGACGCGCTGTCGAAGTCAAAGTCTACGTTGGGTATAATGGCCGTGACTCTGTTGGATCACTCGATGTCCAATTCCGTCAGGGTGTCCGTATCGCGACACCTGGTGCGTGGGTAGCGAGTGATGTGAACCGTCACAATGATGTCGCCTTTATCAAAGTCGATCGACCTTTCGAGGGAATTGGACCCTTCTCCTTCGAGAGGGCCACCCCGACCACTGGGACACTGGATATCGGCGTTGTTGGTTATCCAGCTGACAAGACCTACAAGGACGAAAAGGCTGCGCAGATGTACGAGCAATATGCCGTAACTACTTTCGATTTGTCTGCAACTAAGCTCAATATGCTGGAGTACTTGATTTCAACTTACGGAGGTGAGCTTTCATAGTATTTTTTGGTCGCCCAATTGGTCCAATCTGACAGGCGTATAGGTCAATCTGGGTCGCCGGTCATTGTCAAGGGCTCTAACGTCGCTATTGGGACGCACGTATATGGCCTTGGAACAAAGAACTCTGCCAGTGTCATCCGAGGTCAATACGGCAATTTCTACCATGGCCTTCGGAATGCGGTACGGTCGCCGCTCCCAGCCACCATCGGCCAGCGTGGATTCGTCATCTTGGAAATAACTGGAGCGGAAGACACTTTCACTGAATCTGACCCCCCTGTCTCCGAGGGCTTCTGGTCCGTATTCAAGAAGGTGGTCAGAGTCGGCTCCAAGATCGCATCGACAGCCTTGACCATTGGCGCACCATTCCTTGGGCCGGTTGGAGCACCCGTGGCAGCAATCGCAGGTACTGCCCTTCGTTTCGCCGGAAGGGTCGCTGAAACTGCAACGACCGAGGCAGGCATCGAAGGTGGAGAGGAAAGTCTGTTGACGGCCGATTATTCCTGGAAGCCGCACGCCTGCCGCGCAATTCTGAACGAGGCAGCTTTACAGACTGTCCAGCAGATGAACGTTAGTACAGCCCAGAAGTACCGCATCTTTCAAAAGATGCAGAGCGAGTGGGAGAAAAAGAGACCATATATTCGCGGATTGGCACGTGACCTGGGCCCGTCTTTCATGGAGCCAGCACTTCGAATCGCCCTGCGTAGCTCGGTCCCGACCGGCGAGTCCGAAATGGACAACTTCCCAGAGATGAGTCTCGGAATGCCCAATGAGGAGAGTACTCTGGAGGGGGAATCCTCGATGGAAGGAGAGAGTTCTCCAGAAGCAGATATGCAACGCCTCTCAGAAGGTATCGCAAGCATTGCCAAAGCCGAAGGCGAAACTGAGGGCTGGTGGAGCAGTGTTGGAAAGGTTTTCAAGCTCGCGGTCAAAGCTGCCCCGGCAGCCATCAATCTCTACAAAGCCTTGACGGAATCCGAGTTTGACGGAGCTGAAAGCAGTCTAGAACCTCATCTCGAGGATGTTTGCCACCGGGCCGTCATGGGAGAAGCTGCTTTCAACGCACTCATGAGTATCCCGCCGGCGGAGTGGGCAGCAGAAGGCTTCTACAAGGTCTTTTACAATACGATAAAGACTATCGGCCCCAGCGTCATCAAGCTTTCACCAGGCATGATTCGAAACATCAATCCGATCGTCATCGGCTCCATTACGACCAAGCGTCCCGGTCGTGGTGGTGGGGAGTCTTCTTTTGACGGCGCAGAGACTTCAACCTCCCCGAGCAAGAAGCGCATAGTCGACCTGCTGGATGATGTGTCCATCAAGGAGGCTCCAGGAACGGCATCTGACCAATCTTCGGGTATTGAAGCCGATACGACTTCGCGTCCGATCTCCAACGGAAAGATGAACGGGCACCTCAACGGAACTCCTTTCCCACTACAGGTAAAGTCAAGCTCTCCTATTCTGAACCGCTCGTTAGTCACATCCGCAAACACCATGGATCTTGAACCGCAACAAGACGTTCTGCCTTTCCTTGTCGATGGTTCATTAGTATCGCCCCCAGGTGTCGCCTCTACTAAGTAACCTCAATGTTGAATTACTAAAGCTAACGGTCTTCTTCTCTTATAGTATGTCAAGGCTATAGCATAAGTAGTATCCTAACATAAGTATACTATATATTCACGTCAAATTGGTTTTATCGTATATAGTATAGTACGATTTTAATTGAGTTTCATTTCATTTAGGTTTCTTACCTCTGGCTGCAGATGACCGGGAAAGCTTGAACAATACCGCTCTTTCTACGTGATTTTAGCACACTGCTGGATTTATTTACCAAACTCAAGCGACCTTGATTTATTATTTTTCCGACGTGTGGCACAATCCTCGTTATTGAGGATGATTCTGCGGTATCATCCGAGTCATTAATAAATTTTCAAGGCCAGATTAGCGTTCAACGCGATACCGACAGGATATGCTTGTTTTCAACATATAATAATATCCACTCGGCGAGTTTGGCATGAGAAGAGCGTGGCATCGGTTGGTACGATCGTGGGACCTATGGCACGTAATGTGATGGGCTCAAATGTAAAGCTGAAAGTTGTCTTGTAAGCGTCCCCGTGGCATTCCATCAGCACACGCCGTCCAAAGGAATGCTAAAATCAATTGTGGAATTTGCAGCCTGGTATGGGTATTTCGATCTTAGCTTGCTAGGAATTTGGCCTTCAGTTGTCGGTGCATGCTAGATTGAAGGATTGGGAAGACCATTCCACGAACTGGCTTGGGTCTTCCAGCTTGCACAAGAAGAGTTTTATAAGTCGTATTCCGCAGATACGTCTTCCCTTCGTCTTGGTCGATCAAGAACTACCAGAGAGACAGACGAAATCTAAGATTTCTTCTTCCAGAAACAGTCAAGGATGCCGGTCATCATTCGGGACGGAACGGGTCGCCTCAACCACATGGACCATATCGACAAGTGAGAGAATCAGATATCGTATTTTGATACCTGAGCTGACTGTAGACGATAGCAAGTTCTTGGAATCTGGAAGTCCTAATTTTTTCTTGCAGTACCGCGACACCCAGGGCGAGTTGCACGCCTGGCCAATCCATATCGTGAAGCTGTTGGAATCAGGATATGACCTCAACGCATGTGAGGAGTGCGAGGTACGTTACTGAGCACATCCATGGTGATAGACATCACTCATCATCCTGTGGCAGGGAATCAAGAGATGGGACCCGGAGATGATCGAATTTCTCCACGTAGAAGGCGGAGTACAGTCCATCCAGACCTTCTGCCACTCCCTCTACGATCAACAACTCTACCCTGATCTGAAGACCGAGCTTGCTGGAGATTCCAAAACAGCCATCAAAGCCATGGGAATTTTCCTCCGGGGATACTCCTTTGCGGAAGAGCGCAATCTCGCATATATGGAGGAATTCGCCCGGGAGCTCGGCGCTGTGGTAGATGAGGTCGACATGAACCTCAGCGCTTTAGCTTTTGCCATTGCCATCGTTCGGGAGCAACCGGAATGCAGGGGGGACAACGCCAATCTGAGAAGAGTAATCATGTCTGCGGCTGTCCGACGCGCATCGGCAATCTTCCCTGATGAGTCGGCTGACATGGATATTTTGGAACAGAGCGCGAAGTTTCATTACACTTTGCAGCGCAATCTCGATGACTATCGGGGCTTCATCGCCGGGCTACGTGCGGAGATCGCGGATAGAATGCATGATTGAGGGCGCGATGACTGAGTGCAGAGTTCCCGTATCCTTTATTACTGTCGACTGTCAAGTGAGGCTACCAAAATGATGGCAATTTATTCAATGCAAGTGATCGAACTCCGACTCATTTTTCATAAAGGTTTTCGTTCATATGCGCCCGAGAAATACGCATTGCGTTCTCAATAGAAACCACATCTCTGTTCCCTTCACATGGTATAATCTGTCTCTCCAAAAGCACTGTTTCCATTGGTAGCTGCTCATCACCGAATACCCGATGCCTCGACTTCAGTATCACAACGGCCGTAGCTTGGTGGGCCATAAAAGATTCTAAGCTTCAGCCTCAGTGTCGCGCTTGTAAGGACCACTGCCATCAGCACGCTTGTAAGGACCGCTTCCGTCAGCGCGTCTGTACGGACCGCTCCCATCAGCGCGAGCCTCGATCTCAGAGTCACGCTTGTAAGGACCGCTTCCATCAGCGCGAACCTCGAGGATCTCGGTAGCTCGTTTGTAGGGACCACTTCCATCAGCGCGGGCCTCGAGGTCGACAGTACGCTTGTAAGGACCGTTTCCATCGTCACGGGTCTCAAGCTCAACGATGGCATTGATCGGCGCAGCGAGAGTCAGAGCGGCACCTGAGAGGGCGAGGAGGCCGATGAGGGATGTAAAAGTCTTCATGGTTGCTTCGATTGAGTGGTTGGTTGTCGGCGATGGAGGTTTTTGTTGTGAGATGAGGAGAAAAGGGTTAATATGGCGATGATGAACCGAGGAGGAGGGAGGGAGATCCCTTGAGATGAGGTAAGATGGTGTTCGTTGTGCGATGTTAGGCGTGAATTCGGCTTGATGATGCTTATTGGGATGCGGGATGATCTAGATCTCTTATGTTTCTGTGTGTAAGTAGGGACATGTCTTTCATTGTTAAGCTCGTTGGAGAGTTTCGACTCTGACGTCGTCTGCTATTACCAATCGACGATTGCACATCAACGCAACCCGAGAGCAGCGGTGCGATGCCTCGATTACGCTTCGCCGAGCAATACGCTTCCTTCCTCTCCGGCGGTAAAAAAGCTTGACGGAGGATGGCAGACGCTCTCCCGCGTGGATCGACAACAGACCATCCCACGAAAGGATGAGCAGCGAGGCTCGGAGACAACCTCGCAAAGTCCGCAGATGCCGCGTGATCGTCGATCCGGAGCGGAGCGGAGCAGAGCAGAGATCATCTACAGCCAGCGCGACGATCATGACATCAAGGTTCGAGAACGGCCAAAAAAAACACGCATAGCACCGTCGCGAGCAAAAATAATCCTCAGACGGAGCGAGAGCGTTCTCATCCCGCCCGATCGGGCATGAACGACGTGTGTCCGTGGACCTAGCACGTAAGAGTGTAGTACGTGGATCGGGGCCATAGCGGGCAAGAAGGAAAGCATGGAATCGGTCTCCGTCCATGATCATCATTATCATCATGATCATCGTGACTCATCCCGAGATACACATCGCAGAAACACCACTCCGGAGCGAGCTTCTGCTTCCAAGTATTACGCGCGATCATGCAGGACCTCAGCGCAGCGGCGCTCTCTCGATCGCTTCATAAACCTGGGTGAGAGAGATGTACATATTTTCTGATGAGGCGAGGCGAGGCGAGGTGACGTCCGAACTTCTTCCCGCCGGAAACGGGGGACGATTTAAGCTTTTGTTCTCGGAACATAAATATACATACCTAGGTACATAAATATATATAGCTAGTATACCTATAACTCAATGCGCGGGAAGACTTCCCGCGCCTGCCTGTTCGATGCATGCACGAGATAGAAATTCATCGGGCAATATCATCGTATCCATTCGACGACGGCGTTTCTGTGATATTCGGACCGCATAAATTGACGGCCCGACGACTTCGGTCCTCTCAAGCCGGCGATTGACGGCTCAATGGCGTCATGGCTATGGTGGAAAAAGTGCGAGATCCGTCTTCACTCTTACGTAGGAGATTCTCGAATATTTCCGGTGAGCCGACCAGTGACGCAACAATACGATTGGAGAAGGCAGGGAGAAAATTGGGGGATAATGACCCGAGAAGCGGATTTCAATTTTTCTCATTCAAGAGATGGATGGACCGAGCCGTGAGCTTTATTGAAAAACAAACCAGTGTCCGTGTCCCGGGGGGTGATGGTGATAAAACACAAGTGTCGTTCGCAACGCTCGCTAAATCTACAGCAGAACCAGAATTGCCAGAAAAGTAAGACAAAATTGTGTCTAAAAACACAGAGAGGCAGGTGGAAATGCCACATAGAATTCAAGCGTCTTTCATCTCTCGCTTATCTCCCCTCTTCCCCAAACCACAGCACGCGGATATCACCGTCCTCGCTGCCGCTGGCGACTCTCTCGTCGCCGAGCCAGGCGCACGTCACGGGGCCTTGATGGCCGGTGAAGGTCCGCTCGCATTTCCCCGTGCGAGGGTCCCAGACTTTCAGCATGCGGTCCTCGCTGCCGCTGATGAGGCGCAGATGGTCGGCGGAGAGCGCCCAGATGCCTTCGACGTGGCCGAAGAAGGTCCGGATGCAGGCTTGGGCGCGCGGGATGTGGGAGTTGGTGAGGGGGTCGGTGGGCAGAATTTGTGGGGGGATGATGGCGGCGTTGTTGTTGGTGGTGTCGGTGGTGGTGTTTTGGGTGCCGCCGGCCTGGGCGGTTTGGTCGAGGGGTCGCGCATTGGTCTCGCCGCTTTGGGAGCAAGACGATTGGGTGGAAGGGGAGAAGTGCGTGTCCCAGAGGCGGATGGTGGAGTCCAGGGCGCCGGTGATCATGTATCGAGGCGGAGCGGGGCGTTTGGGGTCGTTGGGCCAGAAGGGTTGGCCGGCGGCGTGGTCGTGTTGATGTCGCGTGTCGATGTGATGGTGAGCGGCGGCAAGGGTGACGGAACTGACACTACTCGAATCGTCGTCCTTCTCCGAACCTCGCCGGTCATGTTGTTCTTCCAATTCGAATACCTCCGGCATCGGGAGGACCTGCTGGACTTGACCCACATGACCATCGAAGATGCGGATACATTGTTTCGCGTCGAGGTCCCAGATGCGCACACTCAGATCGTCCGATGCTGAGAACAGAGTCCGTGAATCTTCCTCGACCTTGACACTGTTGACCCAATCGGAATGTCCTCGCAGGAGGAAAGTCTCCTTGATCTTCGAATCCCACACTCGAATGGTACGGTCGCGTGATCCGGAAGCGACGTATCGGCCGGTGTAGTGGAGGGTAATGACGCCATCACCGTGGGCTTGGAAGACACGCAACGTCTCGCCGGTTCGCCAATTCCATAATCGAATGGTCGAGTCTAAGCTTCCGGTCATGAGCTTGCCGCTCTCGTCGAATTGTAGACATCGGATTCCGCTGGTGTGACCCTTGAGCGTCCGCAGCTCTTCGCCAGTATGGATGTCCCACACCTTGACAGTCGCGTCGTATGAGCCTGATAGGAGCACATTGTCGTCGAATTGGACACACATGACTCCGTTTGTGTGACCCTTGAACAGTCGAGTGCTACATCGGCCATACTTCCAAGCGGTTCCGACCTTGAAACGGTCTTTGTAGATGTCCTTCCAAGGTCGCTTCCGCTGCGCCACTTGCATGTCGCCGGCTGTTGCGTCCGCTGCAGAGCATAGTCGTTTTGCGCCAGGAGGCGGAAGCATCTCAACGTCTGCACTGCGTTTGCGACCATGTGATGAGTGGTCCGAATCCGGGTCCGAGGGCAACATGGGTGTGTCGACATGCTCCTCATGGATAGGCGCGATCTCTGACGACCAACGGTTATCCTCCCTCCCTTCGGCTCGGAGTTGTATTTGTCGCTTCTCCGTCCGCAATCTCTTTCTTTCTAGCAATGGCAGGCCCCATCCACACTTGGTACATTTGCGATCGATATGTTGCTCGCACATCCTGTGCCAGACCACGTCGTCATCGGCGAGGCTCCGCCAGCGCCGGCTGACCTGGGCGGCTTTGCATAGGGAGGTCGTGTCCAGATGACAAAGGACCTGGTAGCCCAATTCGTCGGGTAGGGCCGAGAGGAAATCGATCTTGATCAGGTCACGGACGTTGGCGGCGATGAAGGATAGCTGAGGGAAACAGCACTGTGTGAGGATGCCCTGGAGCATGAGGTTGCGGTGTTTGCCTGGTGCGGCGGAGAAGAGTGACCAGACGTGAGAGATGGCCTGCTGGTCTGACTGTGAGAGGGAGGCCAGCTCGCTTTGAAGTGAGTCCATCGTCGGCTCGTTCGCAGGCCGTCGACACTTGAGATCGGGTTGGTGCCTGTAGCAGAATTTGGTGTTTGAGGTGATTTTTCGAGAGCTCTGCTTGGCGGTGTTGGTCGCAGTCCCTTCATTCCCCGGCGGATTGTATGCGGAAGGGATGTGTTGGGTCAGAAAGGGCATTACCGTCTGTTCGGCATGTTTGGAGATGGCGGGAGTGGAGATGTTCTGGTCCTGTGCGTCAATGTCCCGGCGGTAGCGATTTCGTAAGGTCTCGTGGGAGTCGTGATTCCAGATGTCGCCTGTGCTGTTGTGGAGGGTGGTGGTGGTGGTGGATGCGGTCGTGGTCGGATCGGCCGCCATAGCACGGTCAGGCGTATGTGAGGTGGACGGACGAGGGAGAGGATCTGAAGAGGAAGTCGGTTTGCTGGCGGTAGGGTTGGAGGCGAGCGAAGACGATGAGGCGGGATCGCGTGCTATTGATGCCATGTTGGCGTGGAACCTGTGGGCTCCCACATCCGACGTTGGACGGCGGAGCGGGTGGAAGGAAGTTGGCGCTGAGCTTCCCGGGACTCGTCGAGGGTCGATCTACGCCGTGGCGGTGATTATGCTTTTGCGGGATGGAGCGGAGTGGGAAACGAGGAAGTGGTCGTCAAGCGCGCGCGCGGGCGGGTGTGGATTGCACAAAGCGGTCGGACGAGCACGACAGGACGGTTCGGAAGTGTATGTGATTATGCGATAATTTATTGAACGATGATGAAAGATGTGCGAGACACAGAAGGGCACAAGGGCAAGCGGCGACGGCGGCGGCGGCGGCGGTGTGTGGGCCCGAAACGGCGACGGGCAGAGCTTTCGGGGGCACGTACTGTACAAGTTACAGCACAAGTCAGGAGGAGGAGGAGGGCGAAAGGGAGAAATGTGCGCGTGTGCCTGTCTATCATCACACTACGTACTGACACTACGTACTGTGGTTACTGGTACATGTACTCTTACCGCAGCTGACTCACGTTCTTATTACTGTAAAATTAAAGCTGCCCGGCGATCTAACTACTGCGCTGTGCCCGGGTATCTACCGCATGTACTGACTGTACCTTTCGATGTGTGAGTGAGAGATAAGCCGAGGATGTACTGCATGTGTGTACTGTACCTAGGTATGTAAGTATGTATGTATGGGCGGAGAGAAAGCCGGCGGAGGATGAACTATTTCACATAGTAAGTCGCCCTACCACAAGGCACACCGGTCGCAGTTACAAACGACACCCGGGCAGTGGAGCATGCAGTCTGCACTTCGTACACTGTTGGATCTTTCGGTGCGCACCCTCCCCACGGTACGCAGGATCCGGATGAGACATACGTCCACTGCACCGTGATGGAGCGAGATGGTGAATAGCCCGGCTGAATGGTGAAAGGCGTGTATCGTGCGTGTCCTCTCGCCTCTTCAGCGGTACACACTGATGGGTCGCGGGGAGCGTGTGGCTGCTGCGTGGCGTGTGATTGCGGTGACCGATCAGAAAACAAAAGTGGTTGGACGGTGCGACTGTCGCCAAACTCGTCGGAAATGTCGTGCTTTTTTGCGCCGCCGAATCCGCCTGTCTGGGCGGGCGGAAAGATTGACGATCTCGTCATTCACAGTCCATTCTCGTCCGCTTGCCACATCCGCCGCCCGTTCTTCTGAAGTCCGAGATTTGTATCTTGATCAACAAAATGAAGCTTCTAGAGGCCCGCACTACCCACTGCTGATTTGCGCCTATCATCCAAAATGCAATTCGCTGTCGTCCAGCTCGATTCTCGCTTCTCACTTCCCTCGAGGCTGAAGCAGGAAAAGAACGCGGCGGGCGTGGCGTGACGGGCCGGGTAGACCCAGCGTCGCCCTATCCTTATCTCTGTCTAGACCGCATCTTTCTTTCTCTGCTCGACATATGATGTGATGCTTTTTTCGGCCCACGTTTTTTTTTCCCGTCCATCCTGCAGGGTCCGGGCGGGTCTCTGATGTTTTCGAATTTTACTATGGGACGGAAATACCACCGTGATGATCCTGATGATGATGATGATGACAGTTGGAGAAATCCCGCACGAGAATGGCGTGCGAGGCCTGTTTCTCCTTGCCACGCTTCCACGCTTCCCCTTGTAACCAACCAAGCACATAAGCACCCGGTGGCACCTTTTCCGCTATTGCAGGTGTTTTGGAGATATGCCGCTGATATTGTACATGCACCGGGTCTCACAGATTGTGCCCTACGTATCTTTCGCGCTCGGCATTTCTTCTGGTGGTCGCGCGGCTCGGCTTGGAGACTTGTCAAAGAAAAAAAATGTGCTGAACATGAGAGGTGACAAACGTGGAGTGAATAACAATCAGACGTGGTACTATTCATCACACATCGTCTGAAGAGCACGTGTTTTCGGTAGTCGCATTGGTCGCTTCCGGCAATGGTAAGACCATCTCCAAGGGGATATTCACAGGTTGATAAAACGACGAAGCCAACCCGGGAGATCATTGATAGAATTACCCACGCAGCACCGGCAGCTCTCAGCAACATTCATCATACGTTATGTCATCCTCGCGTTCCGGCGATTTGGCCTGTCTAGTCCTATGCGAATCTTCAAAGACTCTTGGGCTTAGCACAACCCTAATAGTTTCGGTCGGAGATCTGATGGATCAACGCGCTATGTATTATCCACTATACACCTGCAATTCAACCTGTACGAGATCGTGACAGAGGCTACCAAAAATGCACCACCAGCCTTGCCTCAGTTGACATAGGACCATACGTCACCCGAGCGGAGTTGAGATCGACCTCGCAGGCGCGATACCGCCTTTTTCCCCTCACGATGTGCGAAACGCGGGTGGCTTTTGATAGCGAAAGCACCATGGCGATCCACCCTGCGCAACGAGACTCATGATGAACGTGCGCAACGGTCGATCATTGACAACGACAATCAACGACCAAGTCATCGTGCCCAGATAAAGTCGATCAAGATGCGAAACGAGAACGAAGGGCAGAAACGAAGGCGAAGATCCATAGAATTTCCGCTGGAACACCTTGAACGCTGCGATCGTGGAGTTTATCTCTGCCCCGCCCGCCTCCAGGGTACAAATTCGGACAAAGCAAACGAACCACCACGTGTGATGACGTCTTGAGACATTTGCCCGGACATTTCTTAGTGGACCAATGTCTTTCCAAAGTTCCCTTCGTTTATTATTATAGTTATTACACTGGAGAGAAGTGCGACTCTGCATAAGACATTTGCCTGGTCATTTCTTAGCGTACCAAGGTCTTCCATTTCAACACGCGGGAGAAGTGCGGCAAGACGGAGGGCCCTGTGAGACATTCGCCTGAACATTCATTAGTATACCAAGGTCTCCCCTTGTGAATAATGTAACGCCACAGTTTGGTTGGCATCTTGGAATTGGAAATGTCTTCCTTCTTGGCACTGCTGTCGGCGTGGCGGTCGTTACGGTAGACCTTGCGTGATTTCCTCCGCGGTGGCGTACAGCGGACTGGCTGGACGGACTTGGCATGTCGTATACTGTATATCCTGATGGTGTTTGTTCTCTTCGTCGTTTTTCCCACTTCCCTAATGTTGTGGCATTGGATGATTGTCCGTCGCATGGGATGAGGGAGCCCAACAACAGACTTCCAAACAACTGGAGAGCACGGGAATTCTGATGTGTCGCCTTCGTGCATGGCAGGTATCGATCTGATGCGGAACGTGAGCCTCCCGCCCGCTGCTGCACTCACTGCGCAAAAGCTCGGCGCCGTCGCCATCAAATCCAGCCAAGAGCTGGGCATTTTGTCTCCGAATCGCATGATGATTGCATTTGTTTGGCTGTGGGTCGGAAAACACAACAAATATAATCTAGGTCGTCTGTATTGAAACGCATTTCCCTCGAAGCGAAGAGAAAATAAACATACGATTATTATTCCATCTCCAATCGTGATTCAGTGCTGTTGCCAAAACAGAAGTATTGTGAAGTACACCTGCGTAGCGACACAGCATTCGCCACCAGACACACTGGCTGCCACGTTGAAATCAAAGGAAAAGGACACGATCAAAATTTTACCTGAGAGCAAGAAATCAACAACCATGCAAAGATCAAGAACCGGTTCCTTCTCCTTCTCCTGGCGAAGTTTCGTCGGAAATGCCGTCCCCAACATCGCACCCTCCCCTCGACGAGTCATCAACGACGAACACATAAGCCCTCTCCAGAAAGACATGCTCTACGACTACCAGCGCTACAAGACCGTCCCCTACCTCCTCGACACCGGCTCCATCGAAGCCGCCCTGATCGTGAGCAAAACGTCCGCGTCCAAGGACGTCTACAAAGGCCTCGTGAAGGCCGGCGTCGTCAGCCCGCAGGGCGTCGTCGACACCACCCGCATCGACCGCCATTTCCTCAACCACCTCGCCATCCTCCGTGCCAGCCAGCAGCGCCAGGTCATCGTGACGCTCTTCTGGTGGGAGGAGGAGACCCTGCGTTTGAGGAAGCTCCTCGACGAGAGAAGGGAGTTGGAAATCCTCACCGCCGAGGCTTCGGCCGAGGCCATGCCCGAGTATCGGAAGCTGCTGCAGAGGGTCAACGGGAAGATTCTGGCCAGGCCGTCCGAGCGGGAGCGGATCGTCGAGGAGGATGCGGATGATCTGATGGTGAGGTTCATGTCTGGGATGTTGTTCGCGCCGGGGACGGATGCGCGGTCGCGGACGAATGGAATGTCGCCCGACGATGAGCTCCCGGGGTACTCACGAAGGGAGATTCCTGCGGGTGTCATGGTTTCATGATCTCTGTTGATTTCCGTACTTTGTTGTTTTTATTTCCACCTCTCTTTGTTGTTTTCAGCGATGTGGAATATTTGCATTATTCAAGCCATGGCGTTCTGGCTTCCACGGTCTCGAACGCATTCATGAATGGTTTCCGTTCGTGCCTCATTTCTGACAATCATCATAAAATCTCCTATCCGAACCTGCACGCTCCAATTTGTCCCAAATATACAGACTCGGAATGATTCTGTTGTCGTGAAAGCCTGAGGCACCGGTGACATTCGATCGTCACCAACAAGTTTCCGGTCGGACGGCGTCTATTGGACTACTGAGCCCCGGTCTGGTTTAGCGTCACTGTGTATTCACGCGCCTATATCCTTCACCAAGTTCATCGTCTTTCTCCGCCCAAACCTCGTAGTAATAATAGAACCGCGGAGAAAAGCACCAACCACCCCGCTTTGACGAATCTCGAAACACCGTGCTCCGATGACGGACGGCGACGACAACACACGTCCGCAAGCCGTGAGCGTCAGCTTGCAAGATCTTCGCGATGGCAACGTCTCGCTGGAGACGCTCGAGGAAGCCTTCGGGCCGGCCTCGCTCGGCATCATCCTCGTGCGAGATCTCCCGGCGCACTACGCGGAACTACGATCGAAGCTATTGAGCATGTCATCTTACCTAGCGAACCTTCCGCGATGCGAATTAGGTACGACGACTACTCCACCCAGATCTGGCGTGTTGGATCCACTCGCTGCATCTATCTCGATTAGCGTGATTTTTGTCCCCGTCGTGCATCTTCGCTGCAGGGCCCTGCTCGCTAACGGCTCGACTTGTCCACAGAGAAGCTGGAGAAGGCAGAAGCCAACTACGGTCTCGGCTGGTCCTGCGGGAAAGAGACTCTCGCCGATGGGCGTTACGACACCCTCAAAGGCTCATTCTATGCGAATCCAATATACAATCCGGAGCTGGAGAAGAAAGCACGAAATCTCTATCCCGACTTTCCCGAGTTCACAAATGATAATGTCTGGCCCGGTGAGGAAATTCTGCCAGCCTTTCGAAGAACCTTTGAAGACCTCTGTCGATTGATCGTCGATGTCGCCGCCCTCGTCGCAGCCAGTTGCGACCGATATGGCTGTGCCAAACTCGAAGATTACAAACCGGGAACCCTCGAAGGGATTGTTCGCAGCAGCGTCTCAACGAAAGCCCGACTGCTGCACTACTTCCCAACCCCAGCCTCCACATCAAGTATTGCTCAAAAAGCAAATAACGAACCCTCGAAACCCATCGACGACGACTGGTGCGCAACCCACAAAGACCTCGGCGCCCTCACAGGCCTGACCTCTCAAATGTTCGTCGACGAATCCTCCTCCCCACCGCACCGCCAATCCTCCGGCTCCTTCCTCCCGCTCACCGAACTCCCCTCTCACCCCGACGACCCAAAGGCCGGCCTCTGGATCCAAGATCGCGCCGGCCGCACCACACAAGTCGACATTCCGATCGATGCCCTGGCTTTCCAGACCGGCCAGGCACTCGAGTCTATCACCCAGGGCAAATTCCGCGCTGTTCCACATTTCGTCCGGGGTGCGGTGAGTACGGGCGAGGGAGGAAGGATTGCAAGGAATACGCTTGCGGTGTTCACCCAGCCGAATCTGTGGGATTTTGTTGATGCTCGTGGGGAGAGGACGTTTGCGGAGATGGCGAAGGAGATTTTGACGAAGGGACTTTAGTAGTGGAATGAACGCGCTATGATTGTCTATTTAATGATTTTCACAATTTGAGATAAAGATTGTGCTGTGGTACAGCCGCCGATTGTTCTGAGTTTTCGTACTTAACATCAAGACCCAACCTCTCCTCCGACACGGTCCGTTTACCGACGCTGAATCGATGTATAAACTTCTGAGGACGAGGCTGTGTCTTCGTTTCATTGCTTATCAACGCTCTTCAACGCCCCAACCTCGAGCGCTATACCACTTCATAGCCATGTCAACCGCCTGTTGATTTGTCGCTTTTCCACCATTCTCGGACGATTTCGCTCATGCTTGCCAATACAAGCTTGCTAGCAATTCATAGCACCGATAGCGAGCAGCTTGGGCATATATAAGTTCCAAAACATCGTTCTGAAGTTGATATGCCGGATCAGGTTCGATTCCACGGTGGTCAAAAACCAGCATGGAACCCACGTCTTGATCGTCGTAGTCTCCGGGTTCTCCGGTTCGGGACTCCTCTTCCGTGAATTTGGTGTAGTAGATATGCGCGAAGATGAGCGCCTTCGTCAGGGTATGCAGCCGAATTGGGAAGGACGTTTCCGTCAGTGTCCCGTCATGTTCGTAGAAATTCGAATCTCTGACAGAGTGACCCTCCTGATAACGTACGTAAAGAGCACTGAACACATCTTCGAGAGCGCCGATATCCTGTCTCTCGCATCTTCGTTGGTACCGAAGCTTCAAATCCAAGCGACGGCGCTTACCTTGAAGAATAACTCAGAAGAATGTCGGTCGCAAATGGTAGGAATTTGAGAGTTATGCACCGAGAGCTTCAAATGATGAATTAGGCAAGAAGTGAACCATTTTTCATAGTCAAGACCTCTCTAGTGGCCTACACCAAGCTGCTCTTATTATGGCGATGACGTGGCGTTGATGTATTATCGCCTACTGAACATGTCCGTCACGACCAAGAGTGACATCTTCATATCATACTGATCGACGCATCCTCCGCGCATTTAAGCACTTTGTATCAAGTCACATGTACCGTTCTTGATAATCAGGCGCCAAATGGCGACTCTGTTGGTGGCACACAGTCCGCCCGGGGGAAATGCAGCAAGACTTTGGACGGAGTAGGATGCTTTCATAGCGGCAATGACTGGATTTTATCCTGAATAGCAACAATTTCTGCAACCTTCGATCTGTATGGCTTCAATCTCAAGCTAGTGATCATCGGAAGGACGTCCCTCAATGGAGCTCACAACCAGTCTCGATGGAAATAAGTGAGGGCGGTAGCCTCAACATCGTTGGGAGCATCGTTCACCGCCTGCTTGCATACGCATTCCCAAAGCCAGTCCTTCCACTCCCGAGCTGCCGCTCGGGAGATTAGTCTAAGAAGCTCATTTTCGACCGAAGCGCTAGTATCAGGGATCTCGTTGTCCGGTTTGGTAGTAATCATCTCCTTGTTCAATGAATGGCCTCCGAGGTTCGTGAACAGAACGTGCTGAAAGACCATCAACTTGGTCGACTCCCTGAGCTTCACACGCAAAGGTTGCAAATACCATGGCTTGATTTGGCTGTCCTCACCGTAGTGCCAGATAATGGGAGTTAGTTCTTCATTGAATGGATCACAATATTTCTCCAGGCTGGTGAATACGTCGGACAAGATCTCAGCCTGCATGAAACTCGATGGGTCGTCCAATCTGAGTCCGTGCCACTCCATGCCTCCAGTACTTTCGTTGCCCTTGTGCTTGAGATACTTTTCAAGTACACGCTCTAGCTCCAACTGGCCAATGTAAGGACAGATCTCTGCGTTCTTCTCATCTTTCCTGAACTCTGTAACGTCAGGTGGCAAGGTGTCGTCCGGCAGTTTGAGCCGGTAACCTGGAGGGTCTTCCATGCCATCCATATCGAATGTTGGCTCTTCAATGGGCAGGTGTTGATCTTGTTTTGTTCTTTGTGATTGTCGATTGCGGATTCGAACGGTTTGCTCGAGTCGTAGAAAGGAGTTGCAGGAAGCTCGACTCTGATCTCTCTATATAAATTCGCTCCCAGCTCTCAGACGTAGCTTCCATGCCAACAGAAGCCACGATCATGATGTTACTCGAAAGGGATGAATGGCCGAAATCGCTTGTGATACCACGAAACTCTTGTTGCCACTGGCTTTTACACATAGTGCAGGCGCTTCACATCCAGGTACACGCTCTAACAGTAGTCGGGTGATCTTGAACGACTGATAAATTTTGTTGGTGGCACACACGCCGGTGGAGACAATGCTTCGGAATGTGACCCATTATAGTGTACTGAGCACAAACTAACCTTGTGTTTGATATAGGTACTTGAACAATACACTTCCGAGGCGAAGGCGCCAATCGTATGGGGAAAGTCTACAATCTTGATATAGATGACAGAGACCTATCCTGAGAAGTCGAGATGGGGCGGTAATATGGAGTAGGTACTATTACCTGCACACTGTACAGATATGGCATTACACAGAGAGATCGTGTCATTTTCGGCGTGTAGCATGTCCAATAGCTCATATCCATCCTTGATTTAGATGCATTCTGACTCTCGCTTCCACTTCCTTTTCGAAATCCCCAAAGGATTCTGCACCGGAGCGCTTCACGAGTTCCAAAGTATGCGTGAACAAACACTTCAGTAGTTCGTCCCCCCACGCGCGCGCTGCCGCTCGATAGATTATGTCGAGGATGTGGTTCTGTAGCCAGAAATCCGGATGGCGTTCGCTGGGCTTGTGGGGTACATGGAGCATCCTTGTCTCCCTGGTCTCCAGCCCGAGCTTCGTGTGGTACACATGCTCGAAGATGGACGTCGCCGACGAGTCCCTCAGTCGGAGCGTGAGGGGCATCAAAGTCCAGGAGAAGCCGTCCCGTATCCGGGTCTTGCGCCGCGGATGGGCCGAGAGAGTGTCGTAGACGTCCCGAATAATCTCATTTTGCATGATTTGATCATGATCCTGGATGCCGAATCCAGCGATGATTGGATCAGCAATAGACTTGTTGGTATTCTGCTTCGCCTTGATCTCTGATCGAATCTCATCAGCTCTGGATGCGAGACTGTGCAATTCCCGCCATCCAACGAGAAGATGGAGAATGGTGATGTTTGGATCGTTGCCATTCTTCTTCCTCAGGGTGGTTAAGAAGCCAGTCGTATCAGGGGATGTACCCTTATCAGACTGAGTTGGCATACTTTGAACCATGATTGCTTCGAAGGAGAGTGCTTGTGAGTTGCAATGGATATTGGAATGCGCCTTTGCCGATAGGAATGTTGTGGAAAAAACTTCGGGATGAGAATAAAAGGTTTCCACTGCTGAAAAAATAACCTTAAAAATCATTTGTAGCACTCACACCTTGTACGACGTTGGTAACGGAACACCATACCCGGACAGGAATGTGTCGCATCTGGCAGGCAGCCACAGGGATCGGGTTTTGCTCGCAGATTGGAATGTGATGATCCCTGCAATGAGGAAACCTGTTCGGAATAGCGCAGAGAGGTGTACTTTGGCCATATCATACTGAGTTGGGACTTTGCAGACCTCGAGAGAAGTTACGAAGTTCATGGAAACTCCTTTTCCAACAAGAAGACCCCTTTATGATGAGATGAGCAGGCTGCTGGCAGAAAACGCTTCTTTAATTTGACGAATGAGTCGATCTAGTTGTAAAATCAACCCGTCGTTTATATGCAAAGGCATCATATATCAATCAGCTCATTAACAGTTCTCTGTCTTGACCTAACCATCATCCTGCTAAGGAGGAACTACATCTACGACCAGTGCGGTAAGGCACGCGTCTTCGACCCACGACTACCCTCAGAGATGTCTTAAAAATGCCAGCTTTGTTCAATATCCATGAGGACGCGCGTCTTTCACAGTATGCAAGTATGCGAAGCGAGGCGCTGGCGGTAAACTTGGCAGCGAAATTCCCGCATTGGGCAAAACGCGCACGAACTGGTCGATATTTTGCGATTGTGGAAATGGCGATAGAAGAGAAATAAGATAAGTGCCGAGTGTGTTAAAGCAGATGTGCAATGATGAATTCAGAATGTCCCGAGTGCGACGTTCCACAGCAGGATTCCTGGAGCCCGCAATGTTTAGCATGATGATAATCCGAAGCACGGTCCCATGTCATGACATAATAAAGACTACAAGCAAGCGATGAAGCTGCAGACGCATAAGGATACCCGATCCCTCCGACCTCCCATCGCGCAGATGCGAGATCGACCTTCCTTCCAAGCCATATCCTCACAGGAAAACCATCCCCCTCTCATCTTTCCCCTTTCTCCCACCAGCGCCGTCAACAAAGACATCATCGCCTCCGACATCATCATCACCATCATCCCTCTCGCTCTCCCTCTCCCCGACGAAATCCAGAACAACCCCATCCCGACGTCCGTCGAGCCAAGTAGTAACCATCTGCTGACCGGGACTGCGCCGCAGCACGGGATCCGAGCTCTAGGCAAGACCGCGCGGCACTGTCCTGGCCGTCGTGTGCTGTCGATGGCGATGGCAGCGGGGATTTACGATGGAGGGACTCCGCTCTTTGGGGTCTTCGGGATGCTGTCCGGATATCTTCGCATGAGATGTCGGGGGTTTGGTGTTGGACCGGGAGGCTTGTTTGGAGACTCGGATGTTGGACGGCGGCATGTTCTCGCCGATGGAAGGTTTGGGTTTTTCGGTCGTTCGTGGATCGATGCTTGTGCCCGCGGCGCGAGCATCGCCCGTCAGCCATGCTGCGCTGGACACACTCTCGAGCGGTGTGCCAAGTGTCCCGTGTGCGGCCGTTTGTTGCTTTGAACGCTGGAGCTGGACTTGATAGTGGCTCCTGGCAATCATGGAGCCATTAGGAACCGGCTTACGTTCAAATTTACTCCGCTTCGACTGATCATCAGTTCCGTCGGCTCGAGTAGACGATTGATCCCCGAGGCTGTGAACACCACAGTCATGCGCTGACTCCTGACCTTCACCCATGTCCGCCATGACTCCCGCGGTACCGAAGGCCAAGCTCTCAGTCAGCACATTGCTGCCATGACCGGCAGTATCCGCATCAGCATCATATCCGCGGTCATACGCGTAAGGTCCCGCGGAGATGTTGATCAGCGTCGGGTCCTCCTCGAGACGCAATGGGTGTTGGCCAAGATGGGTCCCAGGAGGTCCACCGTTGACTTGGAGCATGCGACTGCCTGGAATCTCTTCCGTGACAGGGTAGTGCGAGTGTTCGGTGTTGTCCACGACGACGTCGTTCGAGGCCGGTGTGAGAGCGGCGAGTGCTTGCCTTGTCTTGCGGACTTCGAGGGGCTTCGAGACCTCCCCTGCACCCGTGTTGTATTTGACGCGGAGCTCGAGCGCAGATCTGGGGCGGAATTCCGAGATTGGCCTGACGGTAAGCTTCGTGGAAGGAGCGACAGCAGCGTTGTTCTTCTGGGATTTCACTTCCTCGATCTTTGAACCCTCCACCTGTACCGCATCTTCGGTGGGCTCGATGAAGGCGTCATCTCGATCAGGAAGAGTGATCTCGGGAACGACAGGCTCTGCAGATGTCGTTCTACCCGCAAAGCTGGCTGCCTTCTTCGGGCCTTTACGCCGTGTCTCGGTGATGGAGGCAGCGGTACCGATGGCCAGAGCGGTGGCGACTATCGGATAGCGTTCATTCATGTAGCCCGAGGAAGAGCTGCGACTTGTCGCACGGGAGCGAACATGAGGTCGAGATGCATGCTGTGACCGTTGTAGCGAGCCCTCGTCGGGCTTGACGACAGCTGCGCTTGAGATAGTTGGTACAGCAGGCACAGCGTCATCAGTAGGCGATCTCGGGGAAGCTCTCATGGACCGTGCCTCTCCGATGACATGTACGTCAGTGGAGTGTAGATCAGCTGTGCGATCTTGGTCTACAGGCTCCGGCGACAACTCATTCGTCGCGGAAACCTTCCGACTCTCGTCTCCGCCCTCCTTGCTACCACTACCGAAGCGGAAGATGTTCAGCTCGTTTGAAAGCCATCGACGCCATTCCATGCTTGGCTTCCGGCTGGTCGTCAATACTTTGTGTATTGAAAGCTTTGGGGACGTCTGCTCGGCACTCGGACTTAAATCTGTGAGAGCAGTTGCAACTTTTGGTTTGGAGAAGGGGACCCGATATCGCTTGACCTCACGGCCTGTGACCGTGATCATTGTGCCACCGAGCATATCTGCATCGTCTCCGCTTTCAGCGCGAGTATCAAAGCTTACTGTTGGGGCTTTGATGGTGTTCCTGCTATCTTTGCGTTCGACTGTCCTCGCTGTTGACTTTGCTGTAGGAGTACGCTCGTTGTCCTCAGCGGTTCCATACTTTCTCCATTGCGAGACCTCCGGAGATGCAACAGGTGACAGGACCCGGACAGACGCACCGTCTGTCCCTCGCGAATAGATGCTCGGCGACATGAGGGCGCGCTCGCTGTCATGCCTAGGATCTGTGCGAGGATGATTTGTGGGACTAGGGCTAAGCCGAACACTGTTTGCAGAAGGCGAGTCGACATTTCTCAGATAAGTACGAAGTTGTCCATTTCGTATCGAAGGATTATAAAGCTTCCTCGGCGGGGTGCGATCGACGAAGGCGGGCGGAGGGGGCGGAGGAGGATATTCTGGGCTCAAAAAGGAATGCTTATCATGTAGACTATGGTCGTCGAACGCATTGAAGGCCGGAGAGACACGGACGTGATGAGGAAGGTCATATCGCTGCTGCGCTTCGAGTTTGTGATCGTATGGATGATGATTGCTGAGAGTGTAGGGGTTCTCGCCCGACAGATCATCTGCAAGGCCTTCCACCCTAGCGCCTTTGGTACTCCGCGGCGTGCCTCGGTCGCCGTCGTCAAGAGGATCACGCCAACGGTTCTTTGCTCGTTGCATGCGCCTCAAGAGTTGCTGGCGGGTAGGGCGTACGACATCGGCCCGAGAATCAGAGCGATGATCCGCCTCCATTGGACTGGCCACCTCCTGGATCGGGGAGAATGTGTCACCAATGAAGGTGTGAGCAAATGTCATGGGTTCCGGCGTCACGGTACGTACGGTGGGTGCACGCCGACCGATAGTGCCGATGCTGCTTGCGTATTCGGCAGGATAATCTCGAAGACTTTGACGACTCTGTGAGGGAAGCATGGCACGTGTGAAAGGCGGTGCCGCGATTGTAGGTTCACCATGACCTTCAGGGTTCACGGCGATGGCCAAATTTGTCGATCGCATCGGCCGTATTCGCTTCTGCAGCGCGTCGTATAGTCCTTTGCTCTGCTCGGACGACTCACGCATGTCGGCCTTGCTTGTTTTGCGAAGTCGATTGTGGATGGGCCGGCCGAAGAAAGAGCTGACCTTGCGCAGACGGGGTTCTTCGAGCTTTGGCGGCGGCGGAAGGGCTGGGGCGGTCGCTGGACGCTCATACTCCTCCGCCACGTCTGCTTCTTCCTCGTGCGGAAGGTGGTTCAACCTCAAGGTCGACGCACCAGCGATGGTCAAATTCGTCCAACTGGTGACCCGCGACTTTGCCGTGCTCACCTGGCTGTTGCTGGAATTCTTCTGTGCAGGCGAGTACACAGGTCGGACCCTGGAAGAGAGCGACTGTTCGAGTGTCAATCTGTCCGCATTCGCAATTGAGTGGGCGCCGCTGGCGACATCTACTGCAGAAGTGCTCGCCTCGAGATCGTAGTCCTTGACCGTCCATCGAAAGTCCTTTGCCTCGACATGCTGCGGTGGTATGGTAGTCTCAGCCGGCATGGTTTTGGAAGTCTTGCGAAACGCCTTCATGAAGCGGCCTCTCAAGGTGACAGAGAAGTTTCTCGACTGTGTTTTGGCCGATGATGGCTCTAGAAACACTGGTATTGGAGGCGGGGGACGAGTCGGAAGGGGCAAAGTCAGCGACTCATCCACCAGGACGCTGCTCGAGGATGTTTCAGGTGCAACTTGGGCTGGGGTGTTGGTGGTCGCTCGGCGCTTGCCGAACGTCCTCAAGATTCCCGAACGGCGTTCATGCAGTGGCTTCGCTGAAAAGTCTTGGAGGCAGCGATCTCGCGCCATGGCCATGACTTCTTCGTCGGTCTGTGTCTCGCGTATGGAGGCACGCTTTTCGCTACAAGCTATGCTGAGGCACGTGGAATCTTCTATCATCAGGCTTTGTCCACCTTGCACCACGTTGGTCTCGTCGTGACCCAACCTCGATTCGGGCAACGGTCTCTGGACATTTGATCTCGACTCGAGTCGTGTAGATGTAGAGATTTGGTTTGATTGATGATCATCACGGACCCCAGTTCGTGACCGTCGATGCTTTTGTTGTTCGGAACTCGAAGCAATAGCGAAATCACGAGATGCTGGCGGCCGACCTTCACCTTCCAGACCTCGAACCTGGTCATCGTAGCCATCACGTGTGATGTAGTCAAGTCCTACGGTAGATCTCTCCGCTTGCGACGACTGTGCGGCATCCTTCTCAACACTGCCATCCTTCCTCGACAATCTCGTCGACCGTCGCCGGCCAAGTAGCGCGTCCTCCAGGTGGCTGCCTTCCGACCTCCCTTTGCGCTGACTTCGACGGCGCTGCATTTGTGCGGACGAAGACATGACAGCTCGGCGAGAAGCTTCCTCTTGGGCGCGCTGATAAGCCTCGATGGCAGCTGCTTCAGCGTTCTGTTGGGAGCTGATCGGATCTGTAGATGTCGTCCATATGGAACGATGTGGCTGGCTCGATGATGCGGTCAACGTTGTTCTTGCGGACGAGGTAGATTTCGCGCGTCGAAGGTGTGACTGCTGACCGGAAGTGAGCATGACGGATCATGCGAGGCGGCCGATCGCCGCAATTTGTCAATGTCGAGGCAGCGATACGTGTGATCCTGTTGAAAATGTAATCTTGCAGATACTGGGAAACATGTTTTGGTAGTTGTGAAAGAAAGAGCTTTTCGATGAGGGAAAAATTGCCTCGACGGAGAAAGAAACGGAAATGCCTACCTGGATCCAACCTACCTCGAGAACGGAACTGTTTGTCGCGTCAACTACCGTGGATGGACGAAGCTATGGAGAGGAAGGTGTCTCCGACGATCGTGGAAGTTGGTGACACGGCAAGCGCAATTCCAAACTCATGCTCTCAATGGTAAGAACCTAGGACGGCAGGTTTCAGACTCTGGCACTTATCATGACCCTTCCGGAGAGAGGAGGTCCACGGCTATGATCATGGAGCCGTTGTCAGATATGGACTCAGTGAAGTTGACTTCCAAGATCGTATGGTGGACATCGGACTACGCGCTCAACCGTTCCTTTACTCCAACACCCTCCCCATCAAAGTGCACGAAAGTGGCTCTTCAACCTCACTGACTTCCCATCCATCCATCGACCTCAAGAGCCGCTCGCGGAGCACCGCGAGAAGGACGGAAAGCAGTAAACCTACCTACCTAGGCACCTGATCATTTTCTTCCTACTCGATCCCTTCCGAGGCGGGCTTTCACGTAAAGTCGATGAGTCCCGAGGCCGGGAACGCGAACGCGAACGCGAACGCGAGGCTGAGCGACGGGGCCATTCCAGCGAGGTCGATGTTGACATCCATCCCGACGATCTCGTCATGGCACGGTTCCAGTTCGGTCCAACGCGAGATGGGTCGAAAGCTGATACATGGAGGCTATGAGGTTGAGATGGCGAAGTTGCAAGCCAGGGGAGCTCTGGAGGTCGTCAGACAAGCCGGCGACGCCGCTGGAGTTAACCCTAACGGTGCTGGAGCGGAATCGTGCACAAAGTATTAACATGGGAGAGTCCACGCTGGCCGGTAGGCGGCGGTTCAGGACGATCGAGAAACTCACCCAAGTGATTTTCGCATGACCTACAACAGCATGCGCATGAGTCATAAGAAAAGTATAAAGCATGAGTTAAGATGAAATGACATTTGATTCCCGGTCCCTATACAAAGAAATGAGATCACAATTTCTCGCGGTACGATGCATATGCGAGTCCAGTCCATGGGAGAGGAGAGGAAGGGAACTACAATCTGACTCCGATGCCAATGAATTTATATTTCCTCATGTGATTCGTGTTGTGCGCGTGTGTACTCAAAAACATAATCCGAACTATCCATCCTCTACTCCAACAGGTCGTGGATGGAGCTCTTGATCTCCTCGAGGGAGGCATCGAGGTTCTTGAGCATGCTCTTGATTCCCTTCTTCGAGGTCTCCTTGACCAGCTTGACATCGTGCTGGACCTCGCCGACGATGTCCTCGACGAGGGAGGCGGTGTGCTTGGCCTCGTAGCCGCCGGCGCTGATGATGTCGGTGTAGTTGTGGGCACCTCCGCCGTTCCAGGCGAGGAGGTTGGTGGTGCCGGAGGGAACGTCGCTGAGGGCGCCCTTGGTGGCGATGGAGATGAGGTCCTCCTTCAGCTGCTTGGGAGTGATGGCGGCGACGGCGTAGCCGGAGTCCTTGGAGGGCTGGAGGGAGAGGAAGTAGGCGAGGAGACCGGCGATGTGGGGAGAGGCCATGGAGGTACCGGAGATGGTGTTGATGGCGTACTTGCTACCGATCCAGGTGGACTCGATGTTGAGACCGGGGGCGAAGATGTCATTGCACTTGCCGTAGTTGGAGAAGTAGGCGCGCTCGTCGCGGAGGGTGCTGGCACCGACCGTGACGGCCTTTTCGGCGGCGGCGGGAGAGTAGTTGCAAGAGTCGGCGTTGTCGTTACCGGCGGCCACAGCGAAGTGGATACCAGCGTCGACGGCGGCGTTGACGGCCTTGTCGAGGAAGGGAGACTTGCCACCACCCAAGCTCATGTTGGCGGTGGAGCCCTTGAAGCCCTTGCGCTTGCCGTCCTTTGCAGCCTTGACCTGCTCGGTGTGTGCCTCGGCGGCCCATTCGACACCGGAAACGACATCGGACATCGAGCCGGAACCGTTGGAGCGGAGGACCTTGACGGCCTTGACGTGGGCCTTCTTGGCCACACCATACTTCTTACCAGCAACAGTGCCGGAGCAGTGAGTGCCGTGTCCGTTTCCGTCCTTGTCCTCGTCACCGGCGGGGATGGTCTTGCCCCATGCGGCACGGCCCTCGAAGTCGACGTGGTCGACGTTGGTGCCGGTGTCGATCACGTAGACATCGACACCCTCGCCACCTTCACCATCGTAAAGGTACTTGTTGAAGCTGCCGAACGACAAGCTGTCGCGGTGGGAGATACGGGCGAGACCCCATGGCGCACCGTTCTCGGTGTTGGAGGTGGTGTAGACGACCTGATCCCGCTCAACGAGCTCAACCTGGAAATTTGGTCAGTGACTGTCTCGTGACCGCGTTCTCGCCACCTTCGGCTGATGAGAAATGCTTACATCAGGGTGCTGACGGATCTTCTCGATGACGTCCTCATCGAAGTGGCCAGAGTAGCCGAGGAGGCCACCGGCGATGTTGTAGGTGTGCTTGAGACCGTGGAAGATCTCGTCGACCATGGGCGACTGCGAGCGCTTCTTCAGGTCCATCTTGACCTGCTGGGTGGAGGCGTGGATGTCCTGCACCCAGGCGTGGTGGTTCTTCGCGGATTTGTGGTCGACATGATCTTTGAACTTGATCATGTAGCTGTTGGGGATGTATTCGGCGTTGGATGAGGAGATGATGGGAGCAGCATCGTTGTGGATGGTGCTCACGACGACTGGCGAGGCAGCAGCCAACAGTGGCAGGGTGAAGCCGACAAACGACCTCATGACGGCGGTTTGAAGATGCGGGAGGATGGTCTACGGGTGGTGGTGGTGGTGGTGGTGGTGGTGGTGAGAGCTATACGGCGACGACAGACGAAGCAATGGACAAAGGAAGGATGTATTGTCTTGTGGAGGAAGGGATGGAGGAGGAGAGAGAGAGTGGGAAAGAGTGGAGCTTAATATGAAGAGCTCCAGGGCGGTTCAGGTGGTGAAGGAGGATGAGGAGCGAGCTGCGGAAGGGCGGGTGTGTGTGTGTGTAGTGTGTGTGTGTGTGTCAGTCCGACCGTGATGGTGATGAGTCGATTGATGATGAGATGGGCGCAGGTGTGAGAGAGCTTTCGGCGATAACGGATGAAAGAGAGAGAGTGAGTGCAAGCCAGAGAGTGAGCCAGTCGGCCAAAGGTGCAGCTAGTATGGGGCAGAGGCAAGTGTGCGTCTGTGGGTTGTGTCGTGTGAGCGCGCTGCGATAAGAGCTCATCCTCGTCACCATCATCACAATCGTCACCCGGACACTCACCACCTCACCACTCATCTCTCTCTCTCTCTCTCTCTCTCTCTCTCTCTGCCTGGCCTGGACGCTGCAATCAGCGGGCGGGAAAGATACGTAAGGCGCCGTACCGGATCACGCCAGCGGCCACTCCCGTCCGCCCCATGGTTACGAGTCACGTTCACCCCCGGCCACTATTGACGGCGGCACTATCGATGATCGACTGGACAATGCAATCCATCCATCCATCCATTCGTCCAATATCACTTCCGACATGGCACTTGTCGAGGTGGAGCACTGGAGGGACGGAGATGCTCCATCAAGACATCAAGATGCTCATGTACAGTATAGCACATCTTCGCGGCATCGTTCATCACGAACGATAGAGACCTCACGGGTGAGGGCAAAAGACGCCCGCCCGGCGTCGTATCGTCGTCACACTCATCATAGACCGAGCGTATCGCGCCACACGCTACCCAATCGTGGAACTTGTCCAGCGCGCCGAGCTGGGTGCACCGTGGCACCCACTTCCTCGCCCACAGGTCGCGCGCTATTTGTCTGAGCCTGCGTCACATGGGCGCCTACGGATCAGTCAATTGAACTCACATTACAGGATTATTACAAGAGTGCCAGTGCAACAGACGATAGACCGCCACCCGGAAGCTTTGCTCGCCCGGCTCTATCGCTCGCCTATCTCTATCGGCTTCGACGTGGATCCCTCTGAACCTCCAACAGCGTCCCAATCTAGCTTGAGAGGTGTGCGATCTATCTCTCCTCTGGGGGAGCTCTCTCCACACCGCGTATCGCGTTCGTGCCCATGACCTGCATATCTCACACCCTGTACCTTTCCTGTTCCGCTCTCCCGCCCGCAAGGCCCGTAGTTCTCCCTTGGCCTGTTGCCCCGGCATCCATGCGAACCTGTCTCTCTATCACCACTCTATCATCTACATGCCCTATGTCCGGATCCCATGGAGGAACACATGTACACACGCGCGTCTAGACGGGACTGAGTCTCAGCAAAAGACTAGACTCTGCTCCGCTCCTCAAGGGAAGGAGCACAGGGTGTGTATATCTGGGCACAGGGTGCGGCGGAAGCAGATCTCGACGACGGAGACCCATGGGTTCGATGAGTCGAGGAGACTGGGCCAGTGCAATGTAATAACGTACCTGGATCGTCCCATCTCAAGTCAGCTGGGCAGGCAGGCAGGCGGGCGGGCAGGCAGGCAAACAGGCAGCCGAGCGACGCAGCTCGCCCGGGCAAGCTTCTCCACACTCGGCCAATGCTGGAATCTACCCCGTGATCATCCATACCCGCACGGCATCCAACAAATGCTGAGACACCGCACGGGCGCGCGTCCCACGGCGCATTGTTCCTTGCACCGCCCTCGTGTGGCGTAGCGGGCACACACACACACACATACAAGCTGTTGGTCACGATGATCCACGTGAACAAGGGTGGACGATGTCACAGAACACGGCGTCGATCTCACAGAGCCCGCGCGGCTTCGTGAACGACCTTGAGCATAGAGATTGAACTCGAGCGACGAAGCACCGCATGGTACCCTGTGATAGAGAGTGCAGATCGCCGGCCCTTTGACACAGTGTGAGACACAGTGTCAATAGCCCTCGTCCTTCGGGTGACTGTCCATGAAACTAGAGGCACAACGCGGTTTGTGTGCACTTTCGTCCGAGAGTAATATGTCATCGAATTAAAACTCTAAGCACATCACAGCAAAGTCGTGGCTGCACATAGAGGAGAGAGCCTGCGTCGAAGTTCAAGATCTGGATTGCCTGACTGCTGGGGTTGGAATTCTGATGAGAAATGCACGAGCATTATGCTTGCTTTGGAGGATTGCAAAAGACTACTCGTCTGCGCATCTACAACTACTGCGATAACATCTACCAGATTTGCTTCATCTGTTAATATACACGTCGACATACAGTTCAATAAATTTTCTCAGTTGTTGCCCAAACATGGCGGGACAAGATGCGTGCAGTTTGCGCGCACCTCCAGGCCCGTGTGGACGTGATGCAACTTAGGGTTTGGGTTATGTTCAGGCTCAAAATTCAATTCCTGCCCGATCGCTGTTTCCTAGGCCTTGTGTCCCAAAATAGACCACTACGCCCTCCAGCTCTCTCCCACCAACATCCCGTCTACAGCCGCCAAGGCCCATGCGTTCATCGTCAACCAGCTTCCACGTGCGGCGGCTCTGCTTGTCAGGACTTCCGTGTGTGAAGCGACGAGGTATCAGATCTCAGGGACTCTGGGAATACCGCAGGATTCCCGAAATCATCTGCAGTGTCGACATTGCATCAAACATGATTGGCTAGAGAGCGGGCCACAATCTGACATCTCCTCATCTTTGCGACAAAGGTCATCTTCACGCCGTCTTGAGAGGATTCGCGCGGGTCATCACCGAATAGCGATCGAACCCACAGCATGACGCACGGCGATCTTGAATTCAGTGTGAGACCAGTCCGCCGAGTGGAGCAGGCATGGCCATGTCCACGGTCTCGACAGCTTCGCGGCTGCGTGCTGCCTCACGAGGTCTCAATACCCTCGAGGAGGCTTCCAAGACCGCTCTCCTGATCGGACAGCTTCCGCTATGGAAATCCTCGTCCGACCCACCGTCGTCTTTCTCCGAGATCGCCGCCGAGCTTCCTGCGGTGCTGGACATATTGACACAGCTTCGCGAAGAATTGATTGCAAATGCCACGGCCAAGGACACATTCCGCAGAGCTGCAGGATTCGAACGACTGATTGAGCTATTTTCCGCTCACTCGAAAATCGCCGTTCAGCATGGCGGAGGAAGCCAGAAATCGGCGGCCTCAGAGCAAGAAAACAATCTTGCATTTGTGACCGCCTTGCTTCGACTACTATTCGCTACGCTTGATACCCATCAAGGCAATCGCAAATACTTTGGCGTACGTCTAAATGGATGGCGAGCTGTCCGCGAGTGCGTCGCGAATGCACAATCCGCTTTGACGGAGGGGCTCACACAGACCAAATCGCCCAACATCGTTGTCCTGTACGATAGCCTGTTATCTCTCGCCTTCCTGGACGAATCCATCACATTCGAATACTGCGTCCGTGGCATACGATACGACATTCCCGCGGATCCATCTGACCCTCCTACGATCTTCTCTGCTCTACCAGTTACGCCGCTCAAGGTGATGATCAAGATCCCGGAGGTCTTTTCCACTTTATTCCACCTGGCCCTGCAGCTTCAAGGACAACCTTCAGCGTCAGACGTCGATGAGACCTCCTCGCCTGCATTTGAGCTTATAAAATTTATACAAACGGTGGGTGGCGGTCCTCCGGAAGCAAACCTCCTGACCGATGCGCTTCCGCTGCTATTCAACGAATCAACAAGCACTAAGTTGAAGGGTCTACTTCGCTCGATTTGTTTCGACCTCGGCGCGTATGGTTTCCAGAACCTTGACGATGCTGCGGTCCTCTTTCGGCAAGCCTCGAAATCTGACGCAGCGCGCGACTTGCTCCGCGACCTTCTCCTCAACTCCCGATGGCCGGGGTATTTCGAATTTGATCTCCGCCTGCGGGGATTCGCTTCGATCGAATTCCCGAGTCTTCCGCGAGTCTTCCCATCCGAGACTGGATATTCCTTGGTGGCTTGGATGCGATTCGACCAATTCGATCGAAATTGTCACACAACCATTTTCGGGGCCTATGATCACGATCAAAAGTGCTTTGTCCTGATATACCTCGAAAAGGACAGCTTCCAGCTGATCTTGCAAACGTCAGTTCGCTCAGCGGCTATACCGAGCATTCGCTTCAAAACCGCCAAATTCGAGCTATATCGATGGTATCATGTTGCTCTGATTCATCGCAGGAATGCGTCTCATCCAGACCAAAGCATGGCTTCGCTCTTCATCAATGGCGACTTTGTGGAGCAGCGGAAGTGCTCATACCCGGAATCGCCAGCTCTGCAACCTGAGAGATTGGGCCCGCCACAGGCGGGAGCTCCGCACCGCCGCCTGAACCCTGTCCAGGCATTCTTTGGAACTCCGAGCGGCATCGCGACCAGTAATGTGCCAGGAGCCGTGCAGTCGCGGTGGTCGCTGGCCGGCGCCCACCTCTATCAGACACCTTTGACCGACGAGATCATCGCGGTGTACTGTCGTTTGGGCCCCCGGTATCGCGGCAACTTCCAGGACTGCCTTGGTCCTTTGTTGACCTATCGGGCCTCTGCGGAACTCCAGCGCTACAACGAGCTTCTGCATCCCGACAAATCTGACAAGTCCGACATCATCACTGCGACGGAGCAGCGTGGTAGCAACGTCGCCCCTGAGTCGCGGCTCTTGCTCGGTATCGATCCCGATACTACGATCAACTTTGAGTCGCCCAATTACTGGTCATCCTTGGTCGAGTCCGCGGCTGACAGCAAGGCTCTCGCCAAGTACCAGGCACTGGCACAGAAAGCACGCATCGTAGCCCTCAACACAGCTATCCCGGCAGCGGTCGAAGCTGTCGGCCGTTCATATGGCACAGGCGTGCTCACTGGTGGTGTATTCGTCGTGCAGCCTCACCATCTCGATGACCTCAGCTGGTCCTTGATCGGCTCTTTGCCGGTCCTCTTCCAGCAGGTCGAGACTGCGAACACATGTAAAGCGCTGCTGAAAGCCATTGAAATCGTCTTGGAATGTGTCAAGGACAATTGGCGCATCAGCGAAGCCATGGAGAAAGGCCATGGCTACGGCCTACTCGCTGTGATAATCCGCGAAAAGCTTGGCATCGAAGGGAATGCATCGCATCCGAGCGGGCGACACACTGCCGCAAGCCTTCCGCCCGAAGATCGGCAAGCGCTTGAATTACCGCTTCTGACATCCATACTGAAGTTCACAGGTTATGACATGAACGAGCCGGCGAAATCCATGCTCGTGAATCCGATGGCATACCGTGTACTTCTCCTTGACTTCGACACATGGCGACGATGTGACATCCCGACTCAAGAGCTCTATTGGTCGCAGTTCCGCCATTTCGTCGTTGACAACCGCCACCTACACTTCAACCAAAAGCGACTATCCCGCATGCGTGTGCTCAAGAAGTTCATGGAAGCGCTCAAATCCGAGGATTTCTCCGAGGACTCCGCGGCGTTGATGATGCCTACATTGAAGACTCTGCTGGAGAGCAACAATGCCCACACGCTGTACCGCGACTTCGCCATGTTCATCACCTACGGTCTTCACGACGAACGTGCGATGCCGGTCGGCCAACCTCGCGGGATGGCCCAGGTGGTCAGCATGCGTCAAAGGATCAGCGCATGGCCCCGCGGACCCCGATCACCGCGACCTGCTACGCCCGGCAGTGCCGCCTCGATCCCCGTCCCGTCAAAACCAAGCATGACTCGATTTGAATTGGCCGTGTTGTGCCTGCGACTCGTCGTCGAGATCGTATCCGACGAACGCTCATCGAATAACATGCGTCGCTTCAACAAAGCGGTGCCCAATCGCTGGCTGCTCCATCTCCTCGCGGAGACCGATACGAGAGTCATCAACCTCGCCGTGCAGATCGTCTGTCGCGCTCTCGTCGCGCTGGGGCCCGAATTCAAGGATCCCTTTGCCGGGAAGAACGTCGGGTTCGTCACGCTGAAGACGCGGCTCAAGTCATTCTGGCGTTCGCAGGAGCTTTGGGCAACTTCCTTCGCCATCCTGTTCGGCAGAAACATCCCGCAGAGGTTTGCGCCCGAAGAATTCGGTGCCTTTCACCTCGTGGAAGTGCTTACGATTGACGACGCCACCGAGGTGGTGCAGCCGGAAATGCTTTCGCCTATATTCGCCATGCTGGAAGCTGGACTGAGACATGTTGCCTTGACCGACGATGACGACGACAAGTCCAACCCCGCCGAAGCAGGGATCATTGCTGCAATCATTCAGTTCCTCAACGAGGTGTACAATCGAAGCTCTGCTTTCCGCGAGTTTGCAATCTCGTCAAGATATACCCAGGAACTGCTCTTTATCCTTTTTCCACTTCTCACCGGCTCAGATCGGCTAGCCGCAGAGACTGAACTCGCATCCGAAAAAGACGCGCTTTCCTTCAAGGGAGAAGAAGTCAAGATGCGTCCGCACTCGAACTCTATCGGCGAACGCCCGCCTTCAGTCAGAAGTTTGAGCTCGGTATCGATCAAACGTGTACCATCTCCGTTGACGGCGAATCGTGTCGAAGCCCCAAAACGAGTCTCTTCCTTCGTGCTCATCAACAGCAGTGGAGATCGTCTAGCTGTCCCGCCTGCACAATTCACCTCGCCCATGACGCCCAAGGGCACCGATCCGATCAGAATCAACGTCACAAACTCCCTGGTCGAAGCTTTGCTGGAGCTTGCCATCAGCATCTTCATCGACCATATCTGTAACAAGGACAAGTTTGCTGGTGTGGGGCTCTTCCAGAAGGTCCCGCCTGGATTCCAGGAGCATCAGGCGTATTTCGAGTCGTACGTCCTCGTCAACGCGCTCGCTCAACTGGGAAGTCACCTGCGACTCAACCAAAGACTTCTCACGGATACGAGGGTTCTCACGAACCTGGCGAGGTACACACAGCATATGGCAGAGGCAGTGTCGGAAGGATGGTTCATTGATGGGGCTCAGCCATTGCTTGATTTCGCGGGCGAACTGCTCGAGCATCTCCAGCTTCCGAATATTGCGCAGACCAAATCCGTCAGGCTGTGCAGTCAGTCCGTCAACTCGATCCGCATCGTGTTCCTGAAAGCTACCCTCTGGCGCCTGTCGGAATTGAACGAGGACGCCCAGGAGAAGGACGTGACGGATTTCCTGGTCAAGATGATGTACTGGCAGACCATCCTCTTCTCATCAGAGAACCAAGAGACGCTCTTCACAAAGCTGATTTGCTACTTGCTGTACCACAAGCTGGTGTCGAAGGTGCGGACAGTTCGGCTCGCCGCTGCAAGTCTGTGGCGCACTGTCCTGGTGCAGAAGCCTACCGAAGCTGCAACTCTTCTCACAAATGCAATGGGTCCAGACCAGAGGCACCTTTCTACAGGATTCATGCGGCTGGTCTCTTCCGACGACGACGAATTCCTGAATTGGATCGATGCAAACCGACGCACCCTCGACAACGTGTTTCATAACTACCTCAGCCGGCCTTGGGATGATTTCGTCCAAAGCGAGAACCGTAGTGCTGAAGAATCCAGCAAGAATCGTCTCAGCAAACGGCGCGAGAAGCTGCGGCAATGGATGGCAGAAGAGACATCCACCGACGATCTCATCTTCCGGTTTGAAAATTCCACAAGCTACTGGCGGTCGAATGTACATTCGCAGGAACGCACGCGATTGCAGCGGGCGATTCAAGATCACCAGGAAAGCATGAACCAGCTCTCTACATCATTTGACAAGCTGGAGAAGGAAATCCGCAAGCCGGCGGGCTTGGAGCCTCTTACTACCGCGCCAAGGTGGCAGCTCGATGAGACTGAGGCGGTCAATCGAATGCGTATGCGCGTGCTGCCGGACTACTCCGAGCACAAAGAAGTCTTCCAGTCGAAACGGAAATACTCCGAGCGAAGACCGGCTAGTCGTCTTGCGATCGATACACAGGTTCCCAAATTGTTGGCCGATGATGTCTTGACACCAATGCCGATAACTCCCGCGACGCCAAACAGTGCTGTCGATCAACCCGAGGCCATGCGCCCACGAAGCGACTCTGTGTCCAACTCTCAACTTTTGGAAGGCGGCTTCGAAATGGTTGACGACCCCAAAGAGGACGAGGATGGACTTATCGAGGACAAGAACCGCAAGGTCATGACGAGCCTACAACGCGGCGATGCGGTCAAACATCTCTTCAACATCTCCCGTATCGTCGGTCTCGAGGCCTGTGAAGGACTGCTCGTGATCGGAGAGAAGTGTCTCTACATTCAGGACAACTTCTTCCAGAGATCCGACGGCGAAATCATCGGTGTTGCACAAGCACCTGAGGATGAACGGGACCCATATGTTCATCAAATCTCCGGCAAAGACGTCGGCGGTTCACGGTCGAAGCGCTCGCTTGGCGAACAGGAGATTCGTTGCTGGGCTTGGGCGGAGTTGCTAAGTATCTCCAAACGTCGCTTCTTGTTGCGCGATGTCGCCGTCGAGGTCTTCTTCACCGATGGACGCAGCTATCTCCTCACCTGCATGGCAACGAAAGGCCGAGATGACCTCTACAGTTACATCGTCTCCCGTGCGCCGCACGTCCACAGTACCACTGCCAGCACGGGCGAGGATTCCTGGAGGCTCGACACCCTACGAACTCCTGAGTCCGAACCGCAAAGCTTCGGGTCGAAGTTCGGCAACCTGTTCAACTCCGGCCCGACGCACGCGGCGACGAAGAAGTGGATGAAGGGCGAGATGTCCAACTTTCAATATCTCATGCTGGTCAACACCATGGCCGGGCGGACCTTCAACGACTTGACGCAATATCCCGTCTTTCCATGGGTCCTCGCCGACTACACCAGCGAGGAGCTGGATCTCGACAACCCGCGAGTCTATCGCGACTTCTCGAAGCCGATGGGGTGTCAATCGCCTCTGCGTGAGGCGGAATATAAAGATCGCTTCAAGCAATTCGCCGAGATGGGCGACCACAATGCCCCGCCGTTCCACTATGGCACACACTACTCTTCAGCCATGATCGTGAGCTCGTACCTCATCCGTCTGCAGCCCTTCGTTCAATCATATCTGCTGCTTCAGGGGGGTACCTTTGACCACGCAGATCGCTTGTTCGATTCGATCGAGAAGACCTGGATCTCGGCTTCACAGGAGAACCGCAGTGACGTGCGGGAGTTGACACCGGAGTTCTTCTACCTTCCGGAATTCCTCACCAACATGAACAATTACGACTTCGGCAGCAAGCAAGGCAGCGGCGAGTCTGTCAATCACATTCAACTGCCCAGATGGGCGAAGGGTGATCCGCATATATTTATTGCCAAACATCGAGAGGCACTGGAGAGTCCGTACGTCAGTGAGCATCTGCACCAGTGGATCGATCTGGTTTTTGGTTTCAAGCAACGTGGCGAAGCCGCGATTGAAGCCACGAATTGCTTCCACCATCTGTCGTACGGCGGCGCAAAGGATCTTGATAAGATTGACGATCCCGTCGAACGCCTCGCTACCATCGGCATCATCCACTCTTTCGGTCAGACTCCGCATCAGGTGTTCACTCGACCTCATCCCACGCGCGAGTACGACAGGCATGCCGATCCTCGGCTTGACTCGCTCATCGAGACCTTGATTCGTGTCCCGAATGTTCTCATCCAGACGGGCGAGCGTGTCGCCGACCTGACCTTTTCCCGCACAGAGAAGACTCTTCTCGCCTGCGGTCCTCTTCGACGGAACGTGCCACCGGCGTTCGATCGGTTTGTACAATGGGGCTTCACGGACAACAGTCTGCGTTTTTTCGCGCTGTCCTCTGGTCGCTTGCTCGGTCTATATGAGAATACCCACGTCGGACCTATCACAACTACGACCTTTGTGGATAGCAAAACTCTTCTGACAGCCGGCATGGACTGTACCATCGGCGTTTGGACTCTCTCCTCGGTCACACGGAATAGCGTCGAGATCTCACCCAAGACTTACCTCTTCGGCCATCGATCGCCCGTCATCATCCTCGCAGCAAGCCGCGTCTTTAGCACGCTCATCTCCGTCTCCACCGATGGCCAGGCCCTCCTGTGGGGTCTCAACCGATACAATTGCATCCGCGTCCTCCTTCCCGCGCGCCAGGACGACAACAACAGCGAAACCACAACCCCCTCCATGCCGACCATCACCGCCGCCCGCATCAGCAACGTCACCGGCCACATCCTGCTCGCCGCCGGCCCGGAACTCCTCCTCTACACCCTCAACGGCCACCTCCTCGTGCGCCAACGAATCGCCGAGCGGCCCGCCGACACCATCACGGCCATCGCCTTCTACGAGGGCGCGCCCGACCACAGCAACGCCTATCTCCGCCGCGAACTCATCTTCTCCGGCCACCCCGGCGGCGTGACCAACGTCTGGCAACTCGAGAGCCTGGGCGATGGCGAATGGCGCCTCGTCCTCGTCAAGCGCATGGCCGGCGGCACCGACGTCGGCCGCGCGATCGTCAGCGCCACCTCCACCACCGCCGACCATGCGCCCCTCGGGAAGGCCGCGGTCACCTGTATCCTGCCCGCGGCCAGAGCGGTCTACGTCGGGGACGAGGATGGGAATGTTTGGGACTGGGAATGCGTGCAGCGGGGTGGCGCCGGGCGGTAGGGCGATGGTTTTTTTTTTGACAGACGGGTCGATTGGGGATCTTGTCGGTGGATTGTGTGCATTTCAGAATAGATGTCTTGTTCGCGTGCCGTTGTTCCTGGTCAGAAATACAGTTTCGTGCCGCCGGAATGGCGGCCCTTGTGCGCAAAGGGTGCCTTCTACATTTCTCATGGTCATGATTTGCTTCGCTCTTAGAAAGCTCGAAGAAAACATAATGTGCAGTAGGCGAATGTTGTCCGAGTCATGCCGTGCTATTGTCCTGTCGGCTTCCTCGGCCGAGACTGGTGGTTATCTCTGACCCCAGCATCTTGGAATGCATTGAAGCCCAAAACGCGTGCGGCACAGTTGCCACAAGGCCATCTCGGGAATGGTGCGACATCACTCCACGTGATACGTGATAACGACGGATACAAGACCTGAAACATTCCACATCGCTGTCATGGACTCCTCTTCATTCATACTGGACTTTCATATTCGCATGACAGTATGCGGCAGGGAGACAACAGCATGGAAGCAACCTTGTTAGTGAAGATTGCAAGGTCGGTGTTTGTCGATTCCTTGAAGTGGGATCCACGCTGAGCCCTTGAAAGTCTCCAGGACGGTCGATATTCTGACTTCGAAATCAAATGTGAGGATCGATCGTGGAAGGTCCATCGTGCCATCCTTGGACCGAGGTCAAGCTTCTTCGAGGGATGTTTTGCAAATTTCGAGGTATGTGCATGTCTGGTCCTTTGCGCTGGCCACCATTGCCGCCCGTGTCGCTAATGTGCGCCATCTGATGCGAACTATAGGAGTCTACCACCAATGTTGTAGAGCTCAAGGACATCATTGGGGGTAGCCAAATCGTCGATTTCGCCTTGCAAGCCATCTACACGGGCCAGTACTGCCCGGCGCCTGCGGACGAACCTTTTTCACACCACGTGAGAATGTTTATTTTCGGTGACCGGCATGGGATACAGGACTTGGCAAACCAGGCCGTGAATCAGTATGGACAGCAAGTCGAAGCCACAAAGGCTGACGAGTTCAAGCACTTCGCAGACTTTTCGACTGCCATCGGCCTGATTGAGTCTGTCTGTCAGACCTCGAAGAAGATGCGGCGCAAATCGCTGAGCCTGGCGACGAGATGTGCGAAGAAATTATTCGGTGACACAAAGGACGCAAAGCTTTTCAAGGAGTGTTTGGTAGAGTCACCCGCTTTCGCAGTCGACCTCTGCCAGAAGCTCGCGCTCTCTAGTGATGCATGGAAGTCTGCGTTTGCATCTTTTCCTCTAAACGAGATGGTTGACACATAGGCATATTTCTAGTGGACCCTTCGCTATCGACAGCGTAAGAGGGCAGCCCCTTAATCCAAGACAGAGCCAGCCGGAACCTCCGTTCAAGTGACGAGAAACACAGCACTTGGGTACGCTTTCGTGCGCCCGCATACCGTGCCACCGGCACCAATGTGAACACCATCCGGAGGTGATGCAGCAAGATCTAGCTTCGGCTTCGGTCGAGTCCTTACCTGAGACTGAGAGTCTACGATGCGATGCATACACGAACAAAAATAGTTGAGATTGGATAGAGCATAAGTAGATCATATTATTGTAAGAAGATCATCACGTCGCGAAGAAATTAGCTCATTGACGCGGGGAGGCGATTTGCTGGCCAAAGTGAATAAAGCTCGTTCGTCGGTCCTTGAAGCTAGCTCTTGGCAGCCGGCGTATGACTCCTTGCGTCAACAGATCATTTAATCTCAAAGTTTTGTTCAGCCACCAACTTCTTGAGCGCTGATGCTACTGAAACCCTGTCGTTAATACTCACTGCTGATGCTTCTTGCGATCTTGTCGCCAATCACGCCCGCCATTCAAGCGCTCCGCTACGATTATCGAAATGGAGAAGTTCATCACGTCAGACGGGAGTGATCTTGACACAATCCTCACAGGCACCAGATTTTTCACGGTGAGAACGGCGATGTCGGAGTAAGCTCGTTCAGACACTCTTGTGGTTGCGCTGTTCTCAAAGACTAGAAATAGCCTCATGGACGGATCATATGCCGATTACGAAGTCAAGTGCGAAGACACAGTGTGGAGAGTTCACCGCGCGATCCTCGGGCCCAGATCGGCTTTCTTCGCCACATGCTTCGAGAACTTTCACGTAAGTACCGCTCTGAAGCTCTCGCTCGAGGCATACGAACAGATATCTGACTGGGATGGCATATTGCAGGAATCAACATGTGGCTCCGTTGAGCTCAAGGAAGTCGCCGGCGGTGCGCCGATCGTCGAAATGGCCCTCAAATATGTCTACACCCTGGAGTACCCCCGTGACACCAAATGTCAGCCCTTCACACATCACGCCCTGCTCTTCATTTTCGCGGATGTCTATCAGATCCCTGATCTCAGCCTCATGGCAACTGCGGAGTTTCGCAAACAGACCTTACGAAGTTCGACGAAGCTGTCTTTGAAAGACATTTTCCAGAGCACGAGGATTCTGTACACTCTCTGTGCAGGTCACCATCTGATACACCGAATTTGTGCCATTATCTTCAGCAGTGTGGTAAAAAAAGTGTACGCACGAGGAAGCAAGGAGCTAGTCGAGCATCTACAAGGTCTGCTTGAATCCATGCCGCGCATCTCTGCGCAGCTTTGCAAGACACTTGCGATGGCGCCCCAAGGCGGGGGATCAGAGCCCATTGCAAGCCATGCCTCTGAATGTTGGGAGGAGGAGCCAATGGCAAAGCACATACTACAAAGTAAGCACGAGCTGCGTTGAGTCCTGTCATACCTCTGCCATGCTCTCGAATAAAAGCGTTCACAGGTATCATTTGAGTTCTCCCGTAATGAACATGGCATTGTACGGGCTGCTCAAGCTGTGGAACGAGAGCATCAGTAGTTCCTACGAGTGGCACGGAGGCTTTGTTTTCGACACGGTAGAGTCAAGCTCTCAAGCTCTGAAGTGCAATTCTTGAACAATAAAGACAGAATGCCAGACATCACCTTCAACATGATGACACAAACCTAAGAGATGTTTAGGCAGTTTCGAACGGGAGGAGCCTGTTCATCGCTGTTGATGCACGTCATCGCTTCACTACTGAATCAGTTTTCCAAGGTCATGAGAGGACTCCGTGAACATCTCGACGATATATGTATCTTGACTTGCATTAATCAACTTCACCTGAACCAATTGGAAACCCCCGAGCACGACAAAGTTCTTAAAAACCTCTTTGGATCCCGGATAACGTAGATCTAGAGTCAAGCTTCATGAGCGTGAGCGGCCTATATATTGTACGTACCAAGAGCAGATTCTGAGGAAAGCATCGGTAGTACACTCGAAATCATATATTACTAGAACGAGTTAACTCGCCGAGAAGCAAGCGTGCAGGCAAGTGACTTGTGTCTATCTATCTTGGCAACGTTATGCCCCATCTTGGTATCAATGGTGCTTACCAGTTTTGCGAAATGATTTATTAAAAACGATCGATTTACAAGGTTCTCATTGAATGTGATCGTGGAAAACGTGCATGCCCACACCGCTGCCAGTGGTACGAAGCGCAAATCTTGCGGTACGCCTGAGAGTATGGCGGAAGATGACTCGCCAACGTGGGCAACGATCACGACGCAGGGTGTCGCCGAGTGAGCATCGATATCCCAGCTGACATGAAACTAGTCTTTGGGACGGTTCCTATCAGGACTTTCGGATCAAATACTAGGGCAACGTCGTAATGGTATACCGCGCCATCCTTGGGCCACGATCTAAATACTTCCGGTCTCGTGTTGCGAGTCCCAAGGTGATTTCTCAAGACACACGCTCTCAAGCTACCCACTAGACTAACGCTTGACCTTAACTGGAGTCTCAGAATGGTTTTGTCGAGTTGAAAGACGTCCGCGGCGGCTTCGACATCGTGTGGCAGGCACTGAGACATATCTACACCGGAGACTACGAGGAGATGCCCTACACGCAAATTCCTCTGCTTCATCACATCCACATGATGGTCTTCGCCGAAAGATTCGATAACCCTGATCTGGCCTTTCTGGCGAAGCAGCTGTACCTCCAGCAGGTCCAGAAGACGAAGTTCAAATGCGGCGAGGAGGTCCGAGATTTCTGCAGGGCGGTGGAGCTTATTTACGAGACTGCACCAAATGAAGGCATACCACATACTATGTCTCAGCGTGTGGCAGCGTTGGCTTCCAAGCACGTCTTCGGATGAGACGTCGAAATACTTTCCGTGGAAAATGTCGAGGATTCCGGATCTTCTCATTGGTTTATGTGCGCAACATCACCTCCTTAAGGAGATGCGAGGGGCTGGTGAATGAAGTAGGGGCCTGTCATCGGAATTCGGATCGGCGATATCATCCGAACTGGTAGAAGCTATGTGGCATTAGTACCACACTCCACACAAATGATGTTTAATAGCTTCTATGGGCAAAAGCGCTGACCTCAGACTATTCTATATGATCTCGTGTGCTCTACTTATCTCATCAACTCTCTACGCTCATACTCAACTCATGCGCAATGCTAGAAAGCGCTACCTCTCCTGCGCAAACGGTGAGCAATGCTCAAATCCAGCCATTACTTAAAAGTGTCGCAACGTAAGATTTCGATTCGGACAACAAGCCCAATACTACAAGTAACTGACTACTTAAATTCAGCTTACTCGATGGCACCTACTCAGACTTCGAGATCAGCTGCGAAGGCAAATCCTGGAAAGTTCATCGGGCTATCATCGGACCACGTTCGCAATTCTTTCGGGCTTGTTTTGAGGAATTCAAGGCAAGAAAAATCCTGTGCCCTGTTCGTCAACATTCAAGCAGGATTCACTAAACTTACACCGGGCATAGGAGTCCACAACGTCCATCGTGGACCTGAAAGAAATAGCTGGTGGCCCGGAAATTTTGGATGCCGCTATCAACTACCTCTACACCGCTCAGTATATCTCAGGCCATTCGCCGCTCTTGCATCATGTCCAGATGTGCATCTTCGCCGATCGTCATAATATTGCCGACCTCGTCACTCGATCTGAAGAAGAATTTTCACAGCAGGTGCAATCGGTACTTGACGGGGGTCATGCTTTTGACCGCTTTGATTACAGCAATGCCGTCAAGCTGATATACACCAGCTTTCCCGCTCACGGTGCTCTGCACACTCGAGCAGAGGATCTGGCCGTAGCAAAAGCTGAGATCCTCTTCTCTGGCACGGACGAAGCTGTTGAGTTTCAGGAGCGGATCAAGTCCAACACGCAATTCCTCATCAATGTGTGTCGTCGAAGTGCGGTCAGCAAGAAGCCGCAAGGAGACACTCCGCCTGCGGTGGATCTCCTAGGTCCAACGGCCCCTGTAAATCTCGACTTTTCTTGGGTAGACCAACCATCTTCTCATCGTCGCCCGCGGCGTCCCCGGCCAAGCTGAGATGCTTGGGGGCAGTGCGAAGCCTCACTCATCGCGACGTTTGGCTGAGGAAGGAAAACCAATTTTAACAGATCTGATGATCTGTGAGTGCATCGGAGCACTGCACACATCCTTCTTGAGGCGTTGCGATCGTTCAATACCTCATATTCTTCAGAATTGTGACTTAAGTAGCACCTGAACATCTTCAAACATCGGCAAAGTCTCTGCGCTTGATCTGAAGGCATTGAAATTTGCTCGTATGAAGTAACAGTATGAGAAGTCCCTTACAATTCCCTCTAATATCCTTTGCCCTCAATTAAATTTCCAGAAATCGATTTGTTCGGGGCCAGAGTTCACCAACCTCGCGATCATAGCGGACGACGCAACTCCTTGAGATCATATCCTAGGCTCAGCTGTGAACTTTATTCTCACCTGAATAATTGAGTGGCTCCAGGTTAGCGAAAGGCTCCTATATAATCGCTTCACCGACTACACGACCGCGTAGATAGAGAGGGAAAGAAAGTATCCAACAACCTATCGCCTTGATCAATCAATACAGGTGATAGAGCAGGGCTCATGCAGACAAGCTGCACCTGGCTCGTTCCGCAGCGTGGGTATATTGTGGCTTGACAAGTGAAGCATAATTAGCATTCTACGATCCAAGCTGAGTTCAGCCCAAGGCTTCCATTCCCTTGTTCTTCCGCCTAAGTCCAAGTAGCATCTCTCCACCTACAATCACTTGTCTTTTGCTTTTGGTCTACCCACAATCCTTCAAGTTTGATACCTGATCCACCGGTAACAATCTTGTGCAGAAGTTGTAAATTGTTCGGAAACCCCGGAGAGACATTGGCAGCATGTCTTTAGTTGATGACCCACCAGAGGCTTGCGACTTTTCGCGGCAAGTCTCTTCCCGGCGACCGTGAGAGCGGTGATACTGTTCGCTGACAGGCGCTCATCGCAGTCTGCTCGACGACCGTTACTCCGACTTTCAGATTCGTTACCAAGGCAAAGTTTGGAAGGTTCATCGAGCCATCCTTGGTCCGCAGTCTCGATTCTTCGCCAGCTGCTTTGAAAATTTCAAGGTAAAACCCAGGTGGTACCGATGCTGGGTCATTTACACGAGGCTGATCGAAGTGCCCGCTACGCACGCAGAGGAGTCAACTTCGGGCTTCATCGAGTTTCATGACATTCCCGGTGGTGTAGAAACGATCGAAACTTTCCTCGCCTGTCTGTATAGCTGGGATTACAGTGCCTACCACAGCGTCGAAGATCTCAACCGTCTCCCTACATTACTCTCTTCAACTATCAATGGTTTCATTTTTGCCGATCGCCACGGGATTCCTGGTCTAGCCCATTTAGCATACGGAGCCTATTACGCAGGATGCGTCGATCTCGCTCGCCGTGGAGCAGTGCACCCTCATCCCGAGGATCTCAACAGAGCGATCGAGCTGATTTTCACGTCATGTTCAGCACGCGTTCTCATGAATGACGGCCCAAAACATGCGTTCACCAACAAAAGTACGCTTCCCTGCAGTTCCAATTTGAGTGATACCAAATGAAGCAGGTCTGGAGATCTCCAAAGGCATGCACTAGGCGAAAGCACAAAATGGCTGGGATGGAACGAGAGCAGGAAGAGTGAGTCCGCGCTGCCACCAAGGTTGAGCAGTTTTCAACGGTGTTCACGATGGGTGAAGTTACTCCCACAGACGTAATCCCTTCTCAGATGAAACTGGAACAACGTATACACAATAATGTGGAAGGGTCCTGGAAGTTTCACAGTTTTCGAGGCCCTGAATTTGCCGTTGTCATCTCGTCACAACGCACTCTCAAGCGTTCCTTTGCTCATCAAATTGCAAGCTATATCCAGTCTTTTGCTTGATCTGCAGACCAATTGAAGGAAATGTAAGCATCATATCGGCTGCGAAGTAGGAGTATCGTGGCGAGGTCTCTCGCGGCGTACGATTTCACGATCTAGAAGCTGCCCAAGCCCGGTTGTGGTTGGAGGTGAGCTCGCCAAGCAAGTCCTGTGCACGGCCCTCCTCCGACGGAAATGCGCCGTTTTGGGAAACAATTATTTGTCTGGTCCCGAACTGCAGTTCATCATTGCCGTCGCGAAAAGTTGATGATATCCATCACTCGAACGACGGCAATCTTCATCTCACAAAATCAGTACAATGCCTCCCCGAACTGTGGCATTACGGCTGAGGGCCGTCAGTACTGCGCCGACATCCGTCACGCGACCACAATGTCTATGCGAAATTCTATCAAGCCGCCAGTTCCACACATCACCGAGGAGACTCGCCGATGACGACGCAGATGCCGGAGAAACGCGCACACGAGCACCCAAAGGTCGTCGCCGGACCCGCCTACGACGTGATATGTTCCAATGGCTTGAGGGCACTGGAAAGAAATTGAAGGATCCGCTACCAGGCAGTACCAACTACGTAACTGCGTATGACAACACGGGAAGGTTGAAACGCGACCAGCGCGGAGGAAAGACTCCTACCATTGACGTCATCTCAGAAGAGGAGGAGCCAGAGTTACAACGGCAGGAGGAGGAAGATGGTGTTGATGAGGCGGACCGTGCAGGTCGATTGGCACTGCGACAACGTCTACGGAAGAGGAAGGCGGAAATGGAGGCCAAGCAGGCTGAAGCACCGCAAGATGCTGGTGAAGTTGTTAGACCATTCCCACTGAATCCATTCTTTCGGTCAGAGGCGGTGCTCAGCCAGGAGCTACGCGAGGAGATCTACCGGCAGGTCGCTGATCGTGGCGCGGACATCACCAGTGTCAGCGCAGCGTTCGGCGTTGATATCCGACGAGTCGCTGCTGTGGTCCGTCTGATGGCGGTGGAGAAGCAGTGGGTCGCAGAAGTAAGTGCATCTGATTCCATCTTGTTTCTCTCGCCCCGTCCTCAAATGATGATATAAAAATTATTCGATTAGTCTTGAAGACACCTACATGGTTAGAAAGCTATACTCTGATTACACCAGGACGCAAAAGCACAATGCTTCACGAAACACAGTTTCACCTTACAAGAGAACTCCACTAATTCTCTTTTCCTCAGGGCAAAAAGCTCGCCAAACCCTACAACAACGCCGTCCTCGCCATGCTGCCGAAAACTCCCTTTTCCGCCTCCCGAATCACTCCCCACGAGTCCATCAACGACCTCTTCGTCCACCCCTCCACCCGCAAACAACTCTTCCTCCCGACCTCCGAGTCCCGGCACTTCACCCGTGAAGACGCCGCCCGCGCCTTCTCCCCGATCCTGCTGCCGGCCGACAAACGCATCCCGCACCCAGAACTCATCACCCTCGAACGGCAGCATCTCGAGGGCCTCTCCTTCCAAGAACGCATCGAGCGGCAAGCGGCCCGCGACGCCGAAGCCGCACGCCTCAAGCTCAAAGCCGAGGAGAAGAAAGCTCGCTACGAAGCGGAGAAAATCCGCGTCGTGTCCGGTCGACGATGGGATTTCAAATTTGAGGATATCTCGGTCGAGAAGGCGGGACGGGACGGGCGCGGTCGCTCGGCGGTTGGTGTCAGGTATGGTACTGTGCACATGGATCGGAAGAGGGGACAGGTCAAGATTCCCACCAAGGTGGAGTGAGTATGGACATGCATCGTGTTCTCGTTAGAGCAAGTGAGGATGATTGCGGAGATGGGATGTAAGACTACGAGGTGTGCTGCGTGGAAGTAAAAACACCGGTTTGGTAGGAGGACGTTGATGGTGTCCACTTGTAGGCGGGGCGCGGATGTCCCCATCATGTAAACAATTTTTCCCTGTGCAAAGATCTTCTTCCTCAATTCCGGGAAAACTGTCGTCTTTCCATTCATCACACAGTAATTGTGTCACCTATCCGCTCACCATTTCATGTGTGCCAGGATCGTGAACATTTTCCTCGCACTGCCTGCCAGCAGAAACACGAGCACCTCAGGAGGGACGGCAACTTCTTGTGATTTCCGACCTTTCGCTCTCATGATGTGCTATATATAGGCAAAGAACAAGCATATTTACAATTTCTCTTTATTCTCCCTTTGATGGTCTCTACGACTACTGTACTATGGAAGTCTCGTCTTTCAGTCTCTCGTGCTTTCCGGAAGAGGGAGAAGCGGTATCTCTAGAACAACAAAAATGCAATTTCGTGAGGCTGGATTTTCCATTTCTATCGTCTTCCTGTGTTTCGTGATTCAATTCATTATTTATGCAGTGATGGTTCGTTGGTTGCCCGCGACCGTGGAGTCTTGGAGAGAAGCATTTCGTGGTTTCAGCCTTGATCCGGGTGATGATGGAGCTCCAGCGTAGCATGGCCGAATTTTCATGTCCTCTCCCAGACTGTGGAGCTACTGGTTCCGGCCTCGGAAAAGCTGCGCTGCGGCCACGAGGTCGCGGCGATGCGATCGCATATCCTCGAAAGAATCCAGATTGTGCCAAGTCCCACTTCGACGCCCCGGCCACCCAGCCGCTTGAAGTGCGGACAAGAAGATAGCCTGAAACTCGCGATCGCGGCCCGTCCACTTCTTGATAACCTCAGAAGGGAGCGACGCAACGTTCGAAGAATCCTCTCACCCCTATGAAGCCACAGCCTGAGCACCAGAAGCCTTAGCCAAACCTGCAGCCTCTTTTTGTGCCGTCGCGCGAGCCTCTGCTGTGAGTGTCTTCAGCTCCGCCAACATCGAGCTTCTGACCTTCTCAAGAAGATCGTCAACATCATCCTTCGTCAATCCCTTCGTTGAGATCGGTTCTAGGATCTTGATCGGAATGCGTCCAGTCGTGAAACGGCGCGCTTTGACGTTGAGAATGTGGCTGTAGTTTGCGACCACGACCGGGACAATCGGGACTTGTGCCTGGATCGCGAGGTGGAAGGCGCCCTTTTTGAATGGGAGGAGGTCGGCGTGGTCGTAGTAGCTGCGGGTGCCTTCGGGGAAGATGTAGACGCTCTGTCGGGCATCGTGCATTTGTTTGGCGGCGTCGGCGAAAGCGGCGAGGGCCTTTTCTCGAGAGGCGCGTTCGATGAAGACGGTTTTCGAGAGGTACACTACGCAAGATCATGTGTTAGCGAGAAGTCCAAGGCCTCGGTAGTCGCAGAAAGATGCCCTGGCACGTACTGAACCATCCTAGCAGAGGCATGTACCTCAAGCTCGCCTTGGCCGAGACCGAGCAGTACTTTGGGAAGATGTGTCCCAAGGACAAAATGTCCAATTCCGACTGGTGGTTGCCGACGAACACGGCCGGTCGCGTCTTATCCAGCCATCCTCCCGCAGAACCACCACCTGGAGCTCCACCGTCATGAATATCAAACCACACTCCCGTCACGAGAAGCATTGTCCACTTGTACGCCCGCGCTGTCGTCCATTGCCCAAGTCCTCCATATCCGACGACATTGAGCACCGCCGATGCGATCATGCCATACAGCGCGCAGACGAAGAGCGCTATTGAGCCGGCCAGGAAGCGGCCGTAGAATTCGAGAGCATCGTTCTTGAGGACTCGACCGAGGAAGAGAAGCGTGTGGACCGTGGCGGTGAGGATCGTGATGAGGGTGAGGAGGTAGAAGAGTAGAGAGGACATGATGGAGGAGGATGACATTTGCTCGGTTATTGGTGGAGGTTGTTCATGCGTGCGCAGGTCGTGAGGATCGTGAGGTCTGCTCAGGATTTATGTATCGACTCCTCACCGATCGGTCCTATTCGGAGATATGATACTGCAAATAAGAAAAAAAAGTAATGGTCGCACGTGGGAACATAAAGATGTGGTTGGAGAGATGGCACAAGACTGAGGGCGGGGTCGTCATTCTCGCGCGCACCAGAATTCTGTCGGCCGGAATTCTTCAAAAGTCAATTGCCCATGCGTCGATCTCATGTGACGTCGATCCATCGACTTCACCTCCGCCGTCTTCGTGACTTCGTGCATTCTTCTTTGCTACATACAAATTCATCCCGAATGCTCGTGTCCAGCATAACATCAAGTTCCCAAGATCGAATTGCGACAATAACCAATCCAGCATGCTATCTCCTTCGCTCACCGTACATTTGCCATTCCCCCTTGCGACAGACTGTTGCCGCGCCGCGGGATACGGTAAATGTATCTGTAGTCATGCGACTTTCAGTCATGGCCGGGCATCTCTATGAAACGCGTCCCATTTACTCCCGTAGTCTCGCCAATCGCAGTAAGGACATCGCATTTCTTCATGAGGGTCGTCCTCCATGCACTTGGTGGTGAACCATCCTCGGCATGACCTCCGCCTGCATAGATATTGATGTTCACCTTCTGTCGAAACTTGCTGATGCCGTGGCAAAGTCTTCAATGACTCAGTACCGACAAACCAGTGACGGCACTCTGCTCTCAAATATTGCAACACTTTTGATTCTGATTTCGCCCTGAACTTCGAGAACCTGTACAGAAGGTCCATGGTGAAGTCCATATTCGATCGGCATATCGACTGAAACGCATTTTCCGTCGAGTCAGGTATCTCTTGCTTCTCGGGAAATTGTGCTTGAACGTGATTTATGAAAATTGAGCGACATGCCTCGATGTGAGGAGTCGCAATCGAGTGTCTTTCGTACAACAATCCTACGCTCGTAGGCAGTTGGGAGATTTGTGTAAAAGAGTCGGCGTTCTCGGAGCACCATTTCACAACCTTCTCTTGTAACTTTGAGTCGACCGTGTCAAGGTAATTGGCCCAGTCAAGCATTTGGAGTCTGACCGACAGGGCTTGGCAGGGACTTGTTTCGAGAATCGGATCCAAGTTGTAATCATCACGGTAAATACAATCCAGAAGCGCCTCGACGGCTTCGGTGCCACCGCAATCGCTGGAGAGTGTGCTGCAGCGTTCATGGGACTCGCGAAATTCCTAAGCATGCGCATGATCAGCAAAAAGCGCTCCGTAATTCCTCGGAGGTCCCAGTTTGCCATTACGCTGGTCTCGTTAAAACACATTGCAAAGAACCTGGACTTTTCTTGTAGGACCTTCATGTGAGCGTGCCAGATGTGGACGACTTCTCCAGATTCCTCGTCACGAAATTGAATCGTCACGTCGGCTGTCGATTTGTCGTTGAATCGACTGTGCTGTGTCAGCGGCGCTCAATGCTCGATGAAAAGGTGTGACGCACAAAGTTATAGGCACCACTACAGGGGCCTTAGAAGCGTTTGAGTTCATTCTGATCGTTCACTAGTATGCTATTGACTGTGGGGATGCAAACTAGTAATGTTGGAGATGTATCGAAGGGTGAGCTGAGACAAAGGTTTTGCGATCGGTGAAGCTTGACAGATGAGAATGTAAACATCTTTATGCATAGTGGACGGAGTGAAATCTATACGCGGCCAGCGGCTGTGCGTCGGTCCGTAGCTATATCAAGGATGTGTTACTTTCCATTCACTTCCGTTGCTGAGTACCAAGTCGGAAACTTGTTCAAAGCCGCCCTTTTATCGATTGTATTGCAATGAGCTAGGCAGATTTAAGCTGATAGCCAAGTTAAGATGAGGTGAGATACGATAGAATAAAATAAAATAAAACAAGGTGTGCTGAAATGCTGCTTCTGGATATCGTGTCTGGCCGTGAAGAGCATGAGCTGACCATTGAATACAGTATAGCCTCAGCTTTTCATAGCCCTTGGGAATCTCTGCCGCCCGATCGTCGTCAAATGTTGACAGCTGTGTATACTAATCGGCGATTGGAACGACAGACCTCGCTGCAAGCTCGCTATGTTATCGATCTTCGGCGTGTACCGATAGGAATTGCTGCATACTAAAGACGTCCGATTACACAGTCTGCTTAAGAGCGATCGTTCCGTGTGTGCTATCGGGAATTATACAGGATATAGAATCTTGATCAACTATATGCACCTGCTAAATTATTCCTACATACGTACACGCCTTCGTTATTCAAAGCAGAACACAATCAAGGAATAGCTTACTAAGAGTCGGTCGTTTCATAGTAGATTGAGATCAGAAACGTTGCTCTTCATTCTAATTCGATCCAAGACGTAACCTCTTACAGCAAGAACACGCAAAATAAGCATAACCATAAGCATTGTCGCTCTTAGAAAGATGTTTTTGCGTGAAGTATCCACGGCCGTCCGTACACGGGCAGAGACACTCAATCTTGCCGTCTCTAGGAACTCTGAAATGCTTCGGGTTGACAATGATCCAGCTATGCGTATGCTATGTACAAGCAGGCTCGGAGTCCGTGCCCCTATCGAGGTATTTAATGGTAACGTCGGCTGTTGCGTTGTCGTTCCAATGTCTTTGCGTTGTCAGTTTCGAATCGCGTGTAGATAGTTTGCACTCACGGCTTTTTCAGCGCAGCATCTTTCGAAGGATCCATTCTGGTCAGAAGGAGTCTTTGAATAGGTAGTGTTAAGCGAGTGAGGCGGAGACAAACGATCGGAAGCTCACTAGATAGTTTGCAATCGTGCGTGTGGAAGTGTAGCTTTGCAGTGTGCTGAGGAGTAGCAAAGAAGAGGAAATTCGACATGGTGCTATCACGGCGACGGGGAGGCCAGCTGTTTCACTGGGCCTTCCTCTGTTGCCTGATGGTACAATTTTAGAAGACACTTTCTTCCGGCATGACGATCTCAAAGTCCAGCATTTCTTCCACCTTTACCTTACACGGCACTTCTTGCGGTGACGACATTTAAGATCGCAAAGTTGTGAGCAAGGCGCTTAGATATGATCAAGACTCTCAAACCTCAAGCGGTGAGTCAAAAGATGAAAAAGATCCCTTTCCATATCTTGCCATGGACAGTTCGATGCTCAAAATATTCAAGTCGCGCAAAGTCATCAAGACCCAGATTTTTTACAAATGTGCTAATCCGAGAACCTCCAATGCACTTTGCCTTCATCCCTCTCCGGACACAGCCTGCTAATTTCCAAGGAACTATATCGCTACATTCTCATCCTCGAAAATGCGGCCGGACGAGCTTGGACACGTCTGAAGCCTTGTTCTTTGCCCAGGTAACCCCTGCATACGTTTTCTGGCACCACGGGCATGACACATGAACTCTTTCAGCTGCCAAAATATCCTCGTGCGTGAGAGAGTCAGCAAAAGGCACATTCGGGTAGCGATGTATGGAAATATCCTCGTGCGTGAAATAGCCAGCACAATCCTCATTCGGACAAAGATATTCGGTTTGGCCCGCAATCGGCACCCGCTGGTAGTCCAAAATATTAGAACCACGTTTTCCGCCTTCCCAACTTATCTCCTCGAAGGGGAGTCGCTGTAATGCTGTCATCCGGCGCCAGATACGGCTATATTGATATCGCTCGTGGCGTTCCGCGCGTTGGCTCCCCCGAAGCACTTCAGCAAGCGCGTAGCTCACGTCTGCTCCGAACGCTGCGCAAGAATTGACAAGATCCCACACTGTGCCGCGTTTCCTGACGATGTCTCCTTGAAATTCGCTGGTCCTCGCGATCAATGCACTGCGTACGTGATGTTTAAATCTTCGGATTGCGCGGTGGTCTTGATAGTCTGAGCAATAAAGGACATCGATAAGCGATGGCAATTCATGGATCAGCGAGGGTGATTTGCCCTCATAATACAAGCGCAAATCCGCTAGAGACCTAAGGCGTTTCTCTGCGAAAGAAAGCAGTCTGGGATCTCCGATGTCGAGGTAATCTGCGAAGAAGTAGATTTGGACACTCTGAGTGATACTCCATAAAGGAGAGACGTCGTCAGGATTCCAAAGCTGACTGTACATGTACTCCAGAACGCAGTTGACTACGTCCTCCCCACCGTGAACGTCACGTAGACATATTGTCATATTCTCCGACTCCTGAAATCTCTTTAAGATATCTTGTTAGCCTCAGATAATAAATAGAGATTCACACTCTTTTTCATCAAAGCACATACCGAATCGCTATCCAGGCATCTGGCAAAGTATCCCGAGCTTGCTGTAAGGATCTCGCGATGCGCGTACCAAGTACGAACAGGGTCCACACTGGTTTCATCATCGTGATACTTGATTATCACATCGGACGTGTTTTCATCATTTATACGTCTGTTCCTCAAAAGCTTCTTTCCCTCGGTCGTCGAGCCTTTTGTTGGCGCCGAAAAGCGGGGTGACTTGACAACGTCGCACGACATATGAACAATTTTGAGTTTAAGGATGAGAAGGTAATGGTCTGAAGTTTGACAAAAGGAACATGCGACGAAGACAAGACAAGCCGAAATTCCAGCTGTACAGGCAGGAGAGAACTTGAAGTATTCCACTGGCTTCAGCTAGGTCAGAATGAAGAGTGGTGGAATGCTACCAAGTTCATCTGCCATTATCCGAGTTTCGGGAACAAGACAGTGATCACGCTTCCCAAGCAGGGCATTCAAAGTCTTAGATACACTTCAATCCTGTCATGATCAGATCGATGAGCGTTACCTCAAGTCGTTGAGTTCTCTTTCCAATCCACATCAGATGCGCGCTGTCTGTTGATTGCTCAAACATGAGTGGAAATCATTCACTCTTCAGTTCTTTGATCCAATTCATAGCAAATTGATCGAAGTCGCTTGTTTTACCTGACAAGTGGTCGAAGTAAGCATGGAATTAAGACAATCCCGTCTCTAGATCTGCCATGACCTCAGTGGCCGGTAATGAACCAGTCCCACGAGTGTGCTAACCGTGAATTCTTCCAGTCGCACCCGCTAGCGTAAAGCTCAACTTCTCGATCGTATCTGCTGCGGACCCGGCATCTGATTTGAACTCCTTGATGGCAAATTTGTGCATGCGTTCATGTGTTATCTGTAGGAAGTCGGCGAAGGAGAGTAATGTGCCATTGAAGGCGATTGTATGGCTCTCAAGTGAGCCCATGCCGTAAATTTGATTGTACACGAAGGTGATAGAGTTTCGAACAGTACCGATTCCACCCTCGACATCTGTAAGTCGAACGACCCTTTTCTGGGACTCTTTACACGCCTAGTGCTTGAAGAACAATTTTAGAACACTTCATCTGGCTTGTACGAGAAGAAATAATAACATTACCGAACTTGCTTGGATCCAGTCAGATTTGATCTAGTGAATATATCGATGCAAGCGCCAATCCAGTTGGGTATAACGTTGCGCATTATCCCGGGCATGCATGAAAGACATTGACACATCGCGATAAAGATCGCTGAATATCTACGGGATCTTCCTAGCCTTCTCCAGGGAATGGAGCAAGTTATGATCTCCTCAACCTGTAAGATTTTTTCAAGTCAAAAGGGCACGTAATGTCTTCCGCCGTAGCTATCGATCAGCAACAAAGCCTCAAACAGGGGCTTCACGTGGCGGTCAACCACCTAAGACCGACTATGCAGCCAAATCGACCTATAAAAGGACTAGTACGCCATTGCGATCCTAACATCACTTGATCAGTACTATCACATAATACATGTGCCATCCGCCGAGCTATTACTCCACGTCACCTCCTACGCGTCTCGAGTGATCGAAGCTTTGGTGGTGCTAAGATGGCGGGGTCTGTGCAACAAGACAAGACGTATAATATACGGAAGAGCTCCGCCAGCGTCATGAAGGATCATCCAAGCCTATTTCGAGATGCAGTGCTGCCAGTGCACAGTCGCAGAGCTGCATGACGCCTTTCTGCGAGATGTGCGGCTCATCATTCGAGAGGAGCCACTGGGAATTTCTGGGCGCTCCAAATCTACATATATCACCCGATGAGTCCCCACTATGAAAATTGGAGGCGATCAACTTGATTCTCGATACCTGAATCTCGCATGGATTACCCTGTCATCATGAAAGAGAGCGACACGGCCACACGGTCAATAGATCGAGCCGGCTCTGTCCCGAATTTCGGCAGGTAAGTCATCTTTGTGCAACGGAAAAAAACAAGTAAATGCTGATGAGGAATATCCTTGCTCACAAGCACAGCCTCCTGCGCTCAGAGAAGTACGCAGACTTGACCATCAAAAGTGGAGATCGCGTCTGGTTGGCACACAAAGCTATCATTTGCTCGCAGTGTGAATTCTTCGACCGAGCCTGCACTGGTGGCTTCAGCGTAGGTCTGTCACAATATCCCTGTCCATGCGGCTTCTGATTGTATTTCTTAGGAGTCAAATGACGACACTATCATTCTGGACGAAGATTCGGGGGTAGCTGGGGCATTGCTACAGTTTTTGTATGCGGGTGACTACAAAGCCATCGCCGCGGACAGTGAGGCGAACTACAATGCTGTTGGACAATCGCATGAACATGGAGAGGATCCGGCGGAAGGCCCCTGCAACTCGCTGCTTCTCGACGTTCAGATGTGTATTTGCGCCGACAAGTACAACCTCCCGACCCTTTCCGCTCTCGCCATTGGCAAATTCAAAATACACTTGCAGGACACCTGGGCAACCTGGTCTTTAGTCGGGGCGGTTTGTCTGCTATACACATCGCCTCTGGCCGGCGAGGCTATCGACGAACGTGAGATCGGTCCCGAACACGACCATACGGCTTTAGAAGCATCATCGCCATCAGGCGCACTACACTCTACTGTCAGCGGCTTTGATGCCTCAAATAAGGTGGTTCAGCTGCTCCTCATGAGAAGCCCGTTGAGAGGTTATCTGCTCGAATTCCTCTCCGAGCATCTCTCTGCGTTGGCCCACTCACCTCTTGAGCCAGTGATAGCGATTCGAGCACTTTTCCACACCTTGCCTTTGTTCGCCGGCGATATTTGTTACCTCACATTTTCGCAAAGCTGGCGCAAATTACGAAGAGGGTCTATGCATTCAACTGGCAGCCCACAATCAACAAAGTCAGGCTTGCATATTCCGTTGCAGCCTAGCTCGGGCCGTCACAACACATTGAATGCGTCTCACACCCCTGCAGATGATGATGCTTGGCAAGTCCTTGACAATCAAACACCAATTCGTCGAAGGCTTTCGCTTGCTACATCGGCGATCGTAGCCGCTTTCACAAAGGTTCTGCCTGCTTCTCCTCCGCCGGGACCTTCCAACCTGACATCAGGTTCAGCATCTGAAGCTTCCGGAGGAGGACGTCTTGATGAGAGATATCGGTGCGGAAAGTGCTCTTGTGATTACACAGTACATGATCCTGGTATGGACTATGAGTTTGTTTGCCCGCGGGTGTCATGTGGAGGGCGTGTTAAATGTTGGTGGCAATGGTGCATAGCGTGGACAGGCAAGGGGTACATAAATAGGGTCTGTCCACCCTCCGAGAAAAAAAGGGGAAAAAAAAGAATCTTCTTCCTTCTTCCTCACATTTCAACAGGTTATGAGCCCGGGGCATTGCCCCTTGACGAGCTGTCGTCAATGCACACTTGCGCTGCACCGAGGAAGCTGGAAGCCATCCCCAGACAACCGGAGTGACACATCCGCAATCCGGACCGCGGCTGAACACTCCGGACCACGGCTGAACACTCCGGACTACGGCTGAACATCCCGGACCATAGCTGA